AGCATGTAGGCAGTAGATGATGAGCCTTAACTGAGGCAGTGAGGACAGAGCAGAAGTAAAAACTTAGGACTGATTTGGGAGGTGGCACTGATACAATTCTGACCATCAATTTGATGTGGGGTTGGTAAAATTCAAACACTCTCATTTCCTGGTATCAAGCTTCTTTGGCTGTAACTCTATTAAGCAATATGGATTTAAAAAGGTCAGCTGTGACTAATAAGCCCAGAAGATCTAGAGTAAGTATTGTTTTGAGAAATAAAACCAAAATTTTAAAAATACCTCTTTATTTTTTATTTTTCACTTGGTCAAAAGCTTTCATGTTAATTGTGTTAGGTATATGTGATTGTCTCTCATCTTGCTTGTGAATCTCTTGGGGGAAAGGATGGTAACCTTGCGTTTTAGTCTTTAATTCCTTTAAATTCCTCATAGGGGTAAAGACAATGATTTGTCTTTTCAAATCTCTTGGTACAAATTGGCTGGAGGAAGCAAAGTCTAAGACAGCTTAAGGCAATTCATTAAAACTGTCCTGGGCACCAACCAATGCCAGGTAAGGAATTCAAACAAAGGGGGTCAAAGATAAACAGAACAAATCCTTGCCTTCAAGGTCAAAATCTGGAGGGTAAGACAGACCCATAGACAGTGGGCCCAGCATTACTGCACACAGACTATTTTACCTGCAATGCACAACCAATGTATACTGCACTTCAGGACCCAGAAAGGACATATATCTTTTGAGATTTCCCTGTTACACTTTACTATTTTTACTGCAGTTGTCAGTAGCCTGGGGGAACTACCGTAGGGAAGAAGTCTAAGACTTCCAGGGACTTGCTTTGCATTTCCCTGGGCAGGAGATAATGTACTTAATGTGTCCAAGTTACTCTCTGCCAAAGAGAAGTCCTGGTTCTCTGCAGAAGTTATTGATTCTCTGAATATTATCCTAGAAGTTCTGCGAGGGCCACAAACTCATGGACTCTTAGGAGCTGGAAGTGCTTTTAGAGGCATGTCATCTATCTTCCCTCCCACCTGGGACAGGAATCCTCTGCAGCCCATCCCTGCCATTTCTTGGTCCGGCTTCAATATTTCTGATTCGGAGCCATTTATCCAGGCAACCCATTTCGAATTGTAATGGGGAAAGCTTGTCTTGAACGAACTCTATAGATACAGGTAGACATTGGAACTACAAATCCCATCATCACCAAAGGGAAGTGTGCTGGGACCTGAGAGTGGAGCTAAGCAGCCTGATTTGGATATAAAACCAGACATGTGGGCTTAGAGGTCTCTTGGCCTCATGGCTTGCGGCTTGTCTTTTGGTTCTTCCCCAGCTACCAGCGTGCTATTGGGGTTCCAGGTCAGTGAACTGGTAGGGCACATTAATCAATTTCTCTCTCTTCTCCCACGTTATTCGTTTCCCTTTTCTCTTATAAATAAACCCAGTATTAACCTTTTTGTGTGTGCGGGCCATTGAATCTTAAGCACATAGGTGAGGACCCACCGTCAGGCAACCCAGTCCGCACTGGTTCCCCTACACCACCACCACCCTGCAGACCCATATGCAGTTGGTACCTAACACATGTTGGTTGGAATAAATGATATTCAGTAAAATATTTGTCCCTTGATACCTGCTATTCTCCACAGAGCAACAAAGAATACATCTATCCTCTCTTCCACTCAGGAGTTCCTGAATACTGGGGCAGGATTTAACTCTCCAGCACTTCTCCTCTGCAGACTTTCTGTGGTTTTACTGCAAAGCCCTTGCCATTCCAGACAGCACTAGGCAGCAACAGGGAGCGCCTGGGCTGCAGTGGCCTTTCTCTTACTTTAGTTTTTGTGATCTTTTGTATGACACAGCATTCTGGAGTCTAGAGAATGTTCTAATCAGTGTTAAGTCCAGTTGTCAGAACTTTATTTGGATCCCTCTTCTTGTCCCTGCATTTCTATTTATAAAGGCTGGACCAGTGTTTCTGCTCTTTTTAGCTGTCATGACACCTCATGTTGGGTTTGCAGGCAGCTAAAACCCCCGGTCCCAGAGCTAGGCCCTCCACAAGCTTGAGAGGCAAGTGTTCTAGTCCAGTGGCTGACACCCATGGGGAGCTGGGGAATGGGGAGTCGAGAAAGAAGGGCTGATATACTGAGACTCCCTTCTGGTGTGGGTGTGGCATTGCTCCTTTGAAAAGGATTAGGTCAGAAGAGGAAAATAACAGACATCAGTCACAGAGTTCATCAGACACACTCCATGTTTGAAGAGCTCCTCCCAACTCCTAGACTTTACGTACCTACTGCAGGTAGGTAATTAAGGCCAGCGGTCACAGATGCTTATATGTCTCCTTTCATAGCTTGAGCTTTCCATTTCAGTGGCCTCACACTTGTATCAAGTCTCCATGGAAGCCTGGACCGTGAAGCCTGAATTAAGATGGGTGACCATCAGTCATTTAAGAGAAGTCTAGGGCTCGCGCTCCTTACGCCCTGTAGAGGCTGACAGACCTTTCAAACTGGGCAGCCACTACAAAGGCACAAGACTTTAAAAAAAAAGTCCCAGATGTGCATGGGTCACCCCCTTTTCAAGGACAGCATTTGCTGACACTGGACTTTACCCTAGAGTGGCAGGCACAACCTAGATGCTGGAGAAACATTTCCCCAAAGGTTTTTTTTTTGGGGGGGGGGTGGTCAAGGGCAGGGCTCAGAATAGGCTACTATCAGCCTGACCGGTCCACATGAGGTAGGTGACAGTAAGTAGTCCTCTCGACTACCACAACTGCAGATAAAGAATAACGGAGAGAAACCCAGGGGTCTGGTTAGGGTACTACTAGCTTCGGACCTGCCTTTTGGGTTCCCTGCCCCATGTCACAGCGGTGCAGGTGCAAAGTGCTTGGAAAAGAACAGCCTACTTGCCGCTGCTGCAGAGGAAGCAGGTCTTGACAGCAAGATGGAAAAATCCGACCGTCCTCACCACACGCACACCGGCTGCTTTCCCACCTCCCACTCCGCCTCCTACTTTTTAATACTCTAGCTCTCTTTACCTTCTCCCTGCTCCCCTACCTCTGTCACCCCACCCCGACCCCGCCCCTTCTTCCTCGCCGCCCAGGAAGCTTCTTCTCTATGAAACTTGGGCTTCTCCCACCCACTGGCTCAGCCTCACCTGGTCGCCGGCCACAGCCCCTTGCCCTCCCTTACTTTGTTCGGCCGCCAGCAGGAAGCAGAACGAGCTGCATCCGGAGGGCGCAGACCAGAACGAGCTGCATCCGGAGGGCGCACACCGCCCGAGGCAGCAGGGGTGAGCACAGGTACCCCGCGGGGGCCCCGGGGGACCACGCCCTCCCCCTGTTGCTATAGAAACTATTTCTACCCTTTTTGTGACTCTGGAGTTGAAAGGACTTAAGCTGTGGTCCAGTCCCAAACCTCCTCCCACGTTAGCCTATAAAGAACGCTTGTCTTTCCCTCCTACTTTCCTTCTCTTTCCGCAATTCTTTGTGTACAGGGTGCGAATGGAAGGACATCTGGGGATGGAGAACTTGGAAGGGCCCCACAGATGACACTCTTGGGAGTTATCCCTCGCTGCTCCTCTTCAAAAACATATGTGACCGCCAGACACCCATAGCAAAAGCTCTGGAGAGATTTTATTCGCAAAATGAGTACTTTTTTGGACACTTAATGTGCTGCACCAGGTTTTAAAAGCATGAAAAGCAAAGTTAGAGTTGAATGACAGAGGAATGAAGAGTCTGGTCCAGAAAGGAAACAGAGGTTCGGATAACCTTTTGAAAGATTGCTGTTGAAAATGCTAGGATAAGTGGGGCTTAGCGATGTGAAGAGGGAAGTGGGAAAGGTTTTGTGGAAAGCCCTGTCAAGTGGCACCAGAGGTGCCAGCTCTTTAGTGTGGCGGGGAGCGAGGTACAGGCCAGCATGGGCTCCTGAAGAGGCAGGCAGGGGCCTCGTGTGACCTCAATCAACAGGCTAAAGTCTCCTGTGACTTCAATAAACGGCTAAAGTGTGGTATGTGTGGATTTTAGTGAGGGGTGTTGATGTTCACATTTTATTTTAGAAAACTCCCTGACACTAATGGTATGAAGACTAGGCCAGAGTAAGTTATCTTAATCAACAGAAGGATGGATGTCGGCTGGAAGGTGGTTTCAGCTTCAGGTAGCAGGTGGTGAGAGTTTTGAGCAACTGGGGAAAAGGAATGTCAGCCTTGGGGGAGAGGGAGCGGATGGTGGGAAAGTGCTGGGGGCGTGACATGTGATTGATGTAGCGATGACAATACATCAGGCAGCAGTTCTGGGTCCTGAGCAAAGGCCCTGACTTGGAGCACTGGCACAAGGGCTGACCGCAGGAGGAGCCACCCAAGCTTTGATAAAGAGGGGAGGTGGTGGAGAGAAGCTTCGGGGAACATGATACTGACACTGTCACAGAAGTGTGGTATTCGAGCTCTTCACACCATAACTGTCAAGAGTTTTCTAAAATAAAATGCGACTATCAACACCCCTCTTAAAATCCACATACATATACATACCTTAGCCTGTTTATTGAGTTCAAAAGAGGCTTTGAATCAGGCTGTCCCTGTCTGCCTCTTCAGGTAGGTGTAGGCACAAAGGTGAAAACACTGTCTGGGCAGGGAGGTGGGAAAAATTATGAAAGAATGGTGTTATGTGAACCCAGAAGGTAAAATGTATTTAGCAGAGTATGACGAAGGGGGTCTATAAGGTAAAAAAGATGTGCCCTGGATGTGGCAATTAGCAAGTCGCTAGTGCTTTCTGCAAGCTAGTTTCAGCATATTTCTGCAAGCTAGTTTCAGCATATTTTTCTATAGAAACTAGTAATATAACATGGTGAAAACGGGTTCATGAAGCTGCTGCCAGATGATAATATCAGTACCTAACACAAAGTAGGTTCTTAAAAATTTATTGTTGAACTACACCACTGAAAATTAAAAATAGAAAAGGTAAATGCTCACTTTAATCATTACTCTAAATTATTTATTTTCACATTAACACAGAAGTTTCCATCAACCAAGAACTGAACTGTCACACATTTTTTAATGGCTCACATGATTTGAAGAGTTTTTATTGAAAAGTGTTCAAGCTATTCTCACCATAAATATCAAATATCTATTACTGTTTTATTCACAGTGAATTCATACCTAAATTTCCTGAAAAGCTGTATTGTCATTTTACCTCACATCACAACAGGAGTCAGTAAGTAAGCCACAGCTACCCACTGGCTTAACATAAGTGATGCTTTACGAACAGTCTCCTCCCTACCTCTGCTCTTGACATATTTACAACAATAAGAATAACATTATTTGGTGAAACACTCATTTTACCAAGAAATGTAGACATTCAGACAGACGGAGGCTTAGTGTCAAGGAAAAGAGCATGTTAAAACTTTTTCACTTTTACTAAAGGTCTTGACAATGAGGACTTGTCATGAAATTTTATTTGCTGTATAATAACCATAAGGTGGAGAAATATGCCATAACATAACTACTGTTTTTATTTGGAAAATAATTCTGAATTCTTACTATAAAAATATTTGACTAAAATAGGAAAAATCCTTGCAATAAACATGACTGTGCAGCTTAAACAATTTTAGATATATCTCTTGGAAGAAATGGGAATGTTCCCCCTTGCCAGATAAACTCTAAACAGTAAAGTGAAGGTGTCATAAAGTAGACAAGGCCAGAAAAGAACAGCATGTAATGTGAGCTTCCAGTCAAACTGACAAGCACTCAATGGCATAACTTCTACAAACAAACCAGAATCTGCTCTTGAGCAGAAGTGAGAGTACAGGATAATTCCTAACTGAGGTCTTGAATAGCTTTTCAGAGAACATACCCACAAAATGGGGAGAGATAATTTGTACATGTATATGTTAAAGAATTCCTTTATATTACACTACCCTCCTCAAGTAGAAACACCTGCATAAAACTAATTCACTTAATGAAACACTTCTTTGCTATCATACTCAACCACTACTGGCATTTGGATGCAGAGGTTTAACTCGTGCTAATCTGGACAGGCCAAGGCGGAGACTGTGATTTGGGGACTTAACAGACACCCCTGCCAGTGGGCTGCTGCTGTTACTGCTCCTTCCGGATGCACCTGAAAGGAAACATATCACCCGAGACTGATCATATTGGCGATTTCTTAACAAGGATCAATTCATTAAACAAAAGACACAAAAATAGTCAAGCATTCATGTGTTATATGGGTCTATGAAGTTATAAACTAGATCAAAAGAATGGAAATTTTTAAGACAAGATTTTGACACCAAAACTTTCGACTTTAACGTGTCAAAACAGGCCACAACAATGAATATAACACCAGTGAGAAATGCCCATAAGAGTAGGAAAAAATACATTTTTAAAAATCCTCTTGATATTTCAGATGATGACATGAAGACTTAGATCCCTGAATCTATGCACAGTTATTAGGGGGATGACCAATGTGCACCAATCAAGAAATGTCACTGGAAAGAAAAGGTGGGTGACTTAGGAGAGGAGACAAATGAAGAAAGAACAGGAACAGGAAAGACAGAGACAGGATAAGGAGAGGGTCTCACACTGGTTAAGGAACAAAAAAAATGCATCCATTGCACTGGAGTAACTGGAGCTGTGGCTCATTAGGAAGCCACTAATAATTTGATTAAGAAGTGAAGAGAGTCCAGATTAGGGTGTTAGAAATGTCAAGAAAGTGAAACTCAAAGAGTTCTTGATGGAGCAGTGAGCAGTGGCATTAGAGCAAGAGAGAGAGGTCCAATTTCTGAGAGCTGGGGCGAGGCTGCCAGTGCATGTGATGAGTGCTTGAATTCTCACAAGTGTTGAGGCCTCAGCTAAACTGTGAAAATTAGCAAATCTTGAGTAAAGAGATTTGTTAATAAAAATTTCAGGAATCAAATGTTAATACTCTTTGACATGGTGATTCTACTGCTAGTAATTTATTCTAAAAAAATAATCAGGGATGTTTTCAGATTTCTAAAATCATGATGTCTGGGCTTATTGCAACTTATAATCATAAAAAAGAATACGCAATCAGCAATACAAGGGAATGATAAATGCAGCTACTAAAAATCTTGGTTTTGAGGAATACGTAAAAGGATGCAGAAATGCTCTCATGGAAACTAGGAAACGTTTCAAAGTAGACAAACAGTCTACCACTGGTAATATTGCTACCCCGGCCCTTCATAAAGAAATATGCCATACCTGGTGGGCTCCACTTGGGTCTCCTGCTTTCCGCTGAAGGACTGAGTATTTGCAATGGTTTCCTAGTGGCCTCTGAAGAAAGAGACATCTTTTTTGGTGAGGGCTGACATTCTGGTTTGACGGCAGCAGGAGAAGAGTCTACCGACGTCATGTATTTAAAAAACAAAGTTTGTCAAAGATGGAGAAAAAGTGTAGTATTTATATGTAAAAATTATAAAGCTACATAGTCTTACAAAATGTAAGAAAGGCAATATCATGAATTGGAAAAGCTGTTATTAAGCAACAGATATTCATTACGAGACTAACACTAGTCCTCTTACATGACCACATCCATGCTTAGTGTAGTAAACACATCGCACATATTACCTTTCTCCCTAAGTACAACTGTGATACAGAATACTACTATCCCCACTCTTAGACAAGAAACAGAGAGGTTACGCAACTTGCCTGCAGTTGAACAGCTGAATCAGGATTAGAAAACAAAACTAGCTCCAAAGTTGATGCTTGTAACCATGGCACAATAGTGTCTCATGAAAATGTATCAGTCTAGGGTTACGAAGGATCTAAAGTGTGGCTCCTGACTCCCAAGAATTTCTAGTGCAGGCAATAGACTCTTGGAGGAAGTGCTCAAGAGGAAGGAGGTGTGTAGTACACACCTCACAGCGTAGTAAGACACAAGGATTCCAACACATTCTTTAACCTCTCTGAGCCCAGCGTCTGCTATAAAAGCTGGTGAGAACAGTGCTACCAGGTGGTGATGAGAGGAAATGTGGACAGAGTGGCCCGACACGCTGGTCTGCATTTCTCCCTTTCCCCCACCCTGCCTTCTTGTAAGTACTTGGACAGAAATGAATCCTGGCAAAATGTTCCAGAAGACTGGGTAAAAGATTAAGAACCAAATACATTTCCTTTATAAAATTAAGTGTTTTGGACTAAACTTACCCAAAGAATTATATTTGGACTTGGTTTTCTTTTCTTTCCTTGCAACTGGGGATTTGACCTTTACTTCTTTCTTTTTTATTTCTTTAACTTTACTTTTCCTGACAGTGAAGTTTTCATCATCACCTTCACTCTCATCAAAATCAGAATCATCCTCAGACTCTTCACCTGAAACAGAAGATGACACACTCCATCTTTGTTCTAGAAAGTGAGCTTTCGCACCAGATTTTTGTGCCATGCACAAATGATGAGAACATGGTGCCTGGGTTTGCATCCTGGTCCTTCCACGACATGCTGTGGGATCTCAGACAGGTCACTAACTTCTCTGTGCCTGAGTTTCCGGTGTACAAAATGTACATGACCACAAACCTCACATTGCAGATTTGTGCAGAGTAAGTGAATTAACACAGGTGAAGTATTCAGAATAACCACTAACATACAGTCAGCAAACTAGAATCATTTTCTATTACTGTAATCATTATAATTTCCCACTAGTATCTCTGCTTCTGATTTACCAGTTTCACTTAGTAACTTTTGAAAAGAATGGTAAGGAACAACAGTCGCTACTTTTTCAGTGATGACCTAGATGGTAACAGTAACACAATAACTTCCTTCAGTCACTTATATGTCATTCAGAATTCTCTAAGAAGAGACTAATCACACCTCAACAATCCTAACTGATCAGCCTCTAGATGACCTCCTTTGGGATATACCTCTAATGTACCACAAACTTCTTTTTTGCACTGCATGGAACAAATATAAGCTAGAAAAGTAATAAGGAACATAACTGCAGGTGCTCCAGAAAGAAAGCATGAGGATACCCACTACTTTGCTTACCAATGATGCTTTCATTTCTTTGCATGGGGGAGAGGATTAGAAAATCATGTCTTATAAACAAAAAACCCAAACAAAGTAAGTAAGGATTGGCCCTACATTAATAAAAAGGTGTTTCATATTTTTTACATTATAAAAGCAGAAAATATAGGCCAAACAAATGTTTCAAGAAGAAAATCCATTCCCCAACTAACTATAACCAGTTATACCACTGATATAATACCTTCCAATCTCTAACAAATGATATATTTTAAACAAAAAGTAAAAATACATATGAACATTTTCAGACATAAACAGTAGACAATAAACTATACCCCAGACTCTTCAATTATCAATAGTTTGCTCTATCTATACTTTTTTTTTTTTTTTGCATAGAACTGAAGTGCTATCTGAACTTGATTTGTATTTCTCTAATGATGAATGATAATGATCATTTGTATATCATCTAGGAAAAATGTCTATCAGGTCCTTCACTATTTAGTTTTATAAGGGGCAATTTGAAAGTCACTATCCGAATCATGATTTCCACAAAGCCTTTGTTTTATAAAATTACTCAAGAGAGATCTGTGGTTGGAATGTAATACTCTCCTTTTCAAATACTTCCTAGACCTCTGGAAATACAACCTGTCACTTATATATACCCAACAAACAGCAGGTAATTTCATTTCCACATACAGGGCAAACATTTTAATTTGTTCTTAAAGATTAGAAAACTAATCTCATTGGCATGCTCAGTACTTCAGAATTCCTATTATTTTTGGCAGCCATGCTTCCGGGCAGTCTGGAGGTGCTGCAATTACTATTCCTGGACAAGACGCTTACACTGCCAGGACTTATTTTGATTATATCGGGTCCTTTGTATTAAGTCATTTTAAGTTGGGATACACATTCTACTGTTTCGTCACGGTAGTGCCAGCCACTGGCTCCTGTTTTTTGGAGTTGTGCTGATTATCTGTGTTGCTCAGAGGAAGATCCATAGACTGCCTGCCTTGCAGTCACCTGAGTCAGGGAGAGGGGGAGGGGGCCAGATATTGACTAACAAGGCAGATTTCTGGGCCCTACCCTGCCTGCCTTTTCCATCACAATGCGTGACACATTAGTGTTTCCTTGGTGGTCGTCTCTGCTCCCTCACTAGAATTCAAGCTCCATCAGGGCAGGAGCTCTGTTTGTTTTACTCGAGGCTGTATCCCTAGTGTAGTGCATATAGAACAGGAACTCAGATACTTGTTGAATAAATGTTTATTAAAAATCTGTATTTGTAGGCAGCATGTTAATTAGTGTGTAATTTGGCATAAATTTAAGGATGATTAATTCCAATGTTTAATTAAGACAGCTTGATGCTCTGTTTAAGGTTGCTGTGCTTCTCATTTGCCCTAATTCCTAAATGAATCTGAAAGCAACTTTCACAGTAAAATACAGGTTTTGTACCTCAAAATATTTCATGAATTTCTAAGACTTACAGATAAGTCTACACCTTTCAGAGTGGGCCTGAGGCCATCTTTGCTTTCATGCCAGCCAGTCTGCTTCTTAAGCCTCTTTTCCAACAGTCTTCCCTGCAAGCTTCATTGTCTGTTGCACTTGCTAATGCCTTTGAACCCGTTTAATACCTTTACTTCTTTCGTTTACCTATACACTGCTCATTTGTGCAGGCATGGCGTACTGGTCACCTGCAAACAGCTTTCTCCACAAAGCTGAATGCCAGGGCTGCACGTACCCTGTGTGTTCCTCCAGTTTGCATCTACTAAGCACTGAGCACAGTGCTCTGCATACATTTTTACTGAATTGCTATTGGATTAATTTTTTTAAAAGATTTATTTATTTGTTCATACAGAACTGGGGTACAGGCCAGAGGCTCGGGGTGGGGAGAGGCTTCACCAGAGACAGAGCGGGGAGCAGAAGGCGGGTCAGGAGAGGTCCGCCATGCCATGTGGTCACCTCCGGGGCAGGTGGGAATCGAACTCATGCGAAAGCGGCTTTAGCTTCTCAGTGCTGTGCTTTAACCCGCTGCGCCACCAGGGAGGGCCAGATTAATTTTTAGGTAGAAAAAACTTACCAGCTGCGAAGTCTGGTTCAGAGTCATCAGCACTATCACCATCACTGCCTTCCAGAAGAATCTTCCTCTGTTGTACTGCAGCTTTAGATGCTGCTTTTCTTTTTCCTTGGACACCATGAAAATCATCTTCTTCAGTGATCTTATCTAAATCTTCAGAAGAGGTGTAAAAATCAATGGAAAATTTGGTGATAAGTAATTCTTTTAAAAATTGCAGAGCACACTTCTATGAAATCTCCTGCTTCCTGTTGCTGTCTGTCTCATTTATGCAGCTTCATTGCTCCCCTGCCTCTAATAACAGACCACATTGCTTAATCTGGGTCAATCATAATATATCAGTCTTCTGGAACAGGGTCTGATTTAAGGATAAGCCCAAGATCCAAATTGAGAGTTTTTCCCCCAAAATTTCTTTCCTCTAGAATTTTCCACAAGAAACTGGAGCTGGGAAAATACAGCCTCTTTCTTTACTGGTCAAATGATGTCAGCTACAAGCCATGGTGGTTATGACTCGCTACCAGGGAAGAAACTGGGTCTACAGAAAGAGAAAAAAACTAAAACATACAAGAAACAAAGGAAAAGAGGTGACAAGAACCTTGACAAATTTGAAGACCTTGGTTCTAACTATGGTTCTCAGAGCTGAAATAAAAATAAAAAAGTAACACTGGTGCTATGGTGTGGGGAGGACAGTGGGGACTACATCTGAAGGGGGAAACCAAATACTGTACTAAAATGAAGAGGTGCATAAGGAAATAAATAAAAAGAAAAAATATTGTGGATGGAAAAAATATACATTAATATTTAAAAACTTACCTAAATAATCACTGGCTACACTGCAATTAGAGATATGGGGAGATTTATTCTTTGTTTCTGCTTCACTACTGACTTGTTTTTCAGTGCCTAAATATAAGGAAGATGGAAAACAGAATTAGATGCATCTTAATCAAGTAATGTCTAGAAATAGATTAGTGTTAATGATTTCTGCCTCTCCAGAATATCAATATTGCCCTCTGCCATAGAGTTGCCAGAAAAATGAAGGAGAAAATCCTCATAGAGGAATCTGGTGTGTTGTAAATTTCTCCAGTCTCCTAAACTTGCCAAATTATTATCTGTAGCATTTATTAATAATAATAAGAATAATTATAATCATTAGGTGATATTGACTATATGGATTTGGAGAGAAAGGAGATGGATAGTTAGGATCTATAAATCAGTTCCTTTGACCAAGAGATTGTTTTCATTGTATACACAGGTGTGATTTAGACAGGCAGGCTGATCTAGGTTCTCAAGTTTACTTTGTGTGTGAAACAGAGTTGTATGTACATATAAATGACATTTCTGCAGCTAAATAAAACAACTGAATCCAACTGAGCCCTGTCCAGATTATTCCATTTATGGCCCAAAGGGTTAAAACCCTATTCTAATCCGCCAAAGAAATCAGAAAATGAATTTACTTTCATCTTGAGACTTCTCCACATCAGTGGTGACTGTTGGAAGTTCTTTCACAGATAAGGCTAGTGCAACTTCTAAATCTCTCTGGTAGAGCTTGTCATCTAAAGGCAACCTAAAGGAGATACACAAATTTTAATGACTATTTAAAATATCAGTCACATCAACAAAATTTGAGGTTTTCCAGAATTACTATTTAAGAGTTGCCAACCTCATAAAAATGTTTTCAGATAATGATCATGATCAGAATCGATCTTTAGTGTTAAGACTGTACAATGCTACAAAGTCCCATTAGATAAGAGACAGGAGAAACATGTGCTGTGCACTTAGTGATTTCTGTCACTGTAATGTCTGTCCCTACGACCATCCAGGTAGAAGATACCGGAGCCACCAAGAACAAGGACTTGGTTGAGCCATCAGTTCCACTTAGAAATCTTTGCCCTCATCCCCACCTCCTTAAACAGCTATTATAGCTCTTAAACTTATTGTTTTATATGTGTTCTCCACATCTTTTTTTTTTTTTTAAGATATATTTATGCATACAGAACTAGGGTACAGGCCAGAGGCGTGGTGGGTGAGAGGTCACCAGAGACATAGTGGAGAACAGAACAGGCAGATTAACTGAAATACACTGCTGAGGGGAGCGGCAGGTGGGTCAGGAGAGGTCTACCATGCCAGTTCTCCACAATCTTGATGCTAACAAAGATTTCATCAATTACTTAAGCACTGCACTAGATAGGAAATTAAAAGTGCTCTCAAGGATACTGCAATTAAGAAGGAGGGTAGAGAAATAAGGCATATTCATAAGTATCCCATATAAGCAGGTTATCATATCTCCTATTCATGGTGGTCAAAAATACATAGAATATTTACCAAGTTACATAATGTACAGGATCAAAAGGCCAAGCATCTAAGAATTTTTAAAGATTTAAATCATTTATATATGTATTACAGTATATACTTATAGCAAATTAAATTATAATTAAAAATGAGAAGTTTCCCATAAGTATTTCAAAATTGAACTTTTTAACAACTTTTCAACAAAACTCAAATTTTTAACAACGCATGAATCAAAGATCACAACAACAGTTAGGAAATATTGTATTGAATGATGAGGAGGAAAACCACCTATCAAAATTATGGACAACAAACTAGTGCTTAGAGAGAATTATAGAACTTTAAATGATTATGAGAAAATAATAAGGGAATTAAATCACTATAGAAGTCTCCATGAAAAGGACCTAGAGAAAGAAAAGCAAAGTGAATCCACTTGAAGTAAAAGGAAATAATGTAAAGTAATGGTGGTAAGAGCAGGAACGGGGAAACTGGAGTAAAGGTAAATTAGATAGAAAATTAATAAAATCACGAGTATGTTAATTAAAAGATAAGTATGATAGAACTCGGTAAAATGAATAAGAAAGAAAAAATACAAATTACTAATATCAAGAAAATTGTATAACTATTAAAATCATCTAACGTATATTTACTAGACATCTTACCTCTCACCTTTTTTTAGGGTTTTTCTCTTGTACTGGGAGGTCTTCTTTCGGGAGAGTCTTCACTTTAGGTTTTGGTTTTTCTAGTTTTAACTCCTCTGATGTTGTTCGTGACTTCTTATTTAAAGGTACAGTTGCAGAAACAAAATCATCTAGTTATGTGTGAATTAAAAACAAAAGAATAGATGATATAGTTTTTCCTAAGCTAGTTAAAATAAAGTCAAATTTTTTTCTTATGTGAGTACTACTAACTATAGTCCCCATGCAGTGTATTACATTCCAATTGCTTTATTTATTGTATAACAAGAATTTTGTATTTTTTGACCACATTTACCCAAACCCTACGTCTGGCCTCCTTGTATCTATGAGTTTAGCATTTTTTTTGTTTGTGTCAGAACCCATATGTAAGTGAAATTATATGATTTCCTTCTTTTTATGGTCAAGTAATATTCCATCGCATACATTCACATTTTCTTTTAACTATTCATCCATCAACAGATACTTAAATTGTCTCCTTATTTTGTCTGTCGTAAATAAAGTCGCGATGGTGGGGGTACAGATATCTTTTCAAGTTAGTGTTTTCATTTGCTTTAGCTAAATATTTGGCTGTGAAATTACATTACATGGTGATTCTACTTTCAATATTTTTATGAGTTTTCATACTGTTTTCCATAATGCTACACCAATTTAAATTCCTAACAACATTGCACAAAGATTCTTTTCTGCTAACCAATATTATCTTTTGTCTTTCTGGTACTAGCCATTCTATAAGTATGAGGGGATAGCTCATTATGGTTTTGATCTGTATTTCCTAAGGATCAGTGATGCTGAACATCTTTTCATGTACCAGTTGGCTATATGTCTCTTTTGGAAAAATATCTCTTCAAATCTCCTGCCCAAGGTTTGGTTTTATTGTCTAATTAATGGAGATTTCACATTATATTCTGTTACATGTTTGTGCCTCAAAAGACAGTGCATGCCTTCTTGGAGGAAAGAAGAGACCAACTCCACTTTGAAGAACACGGCCCTATAGTAGCCCAGACCTAAAGGTTAGTTTCACCTAGCCTTGTTCATTTATCACTTACCTGTATGGTTCTTATCAGTGTAATTTTAACATAATTAACCCAAATGCTTAGAAAATTAGTTTTTGGACCTATATCAAGTATAATTGCATACTATAATCAACACTTGAGATATATACACATATAACTGTGTTTAACTCATACATATAACCTGTATGTATATATCTCAAGTATTGACTATATATACACGTGTGGATATGTATATTTCAATTATATTCCTGAGGAAATTTCTAATCTTTAAAACAAAAATGAGAAGCTCTACTTACCATCACTGTCAGAGGTTTCAAATTGTGAATAATTTACTGGCTTCTTATGCCTGCAAATAAGAAAAAAAACCTTTCATTTGTACATATGTTAATTTTCCATCTCCATTCCTTAAGGTCATTAACATTCCTGAGTAAATGAAAATTTTTAGATTCACTTAAGAAATACATAAATCTAAAGCATGATTTGCCTTTTATAGGAGGTATTTAAACATTTGCTAATATAGTTATTTTAACTATATTTGACATGTCTGATTAAGAAAAACAAATTAAGATAATTCACAAAGAATTGGGCATTCATAAGATCCTGTTGCATTTTGTTTTGTTTTATATGTGTATTGACTTCTTTATGTTAGATTATAAAATTGGCACTGAAATCCATGTTCTTTAAAATCTTCTCATAGTACTAAATAATGGACACTTAGAAAATGGTGAGTGAATCTGCCACTTGATACAAATCTTCATGCTACTTTAGAGGTATTAGAAGTGATACTAAAAAGATAATTTCCTTCCTCCCCACTTAGGCACTATATGAAATACTATTCTAGTTTTTGTTCTATCTTGTGCCAAATACCCAAGTGTGAATAATCTAGTCTGTCAGTAAATTGTCCTTTAAGTAAAAATGGTATGAAAGGAGAGCTAGTTCTGTGAGTTGTGTTTTTCTTTAAGGCATTCATCATCCAAGGGCTCCTCACAGGGAATGTGAAAAATTAAGTCTCTGTTGTTACCCTCTCACTCTCTAGAGTTGAAGTACTTGAAAGCAGAATAAAATACAAAAACTGTTTTAGAAAGTCTGAGATTGAATAATAGTGGAATAAAATTTAAAAACCTATGAAAAGAAATATACTTAATGGTTGAGCTAAAATGAATATGATTCTTATTGCTTCATTAAGTATACTCTTAAGTGAAACCAGTGTTTTGTTTAAACTCGGAGTATAGCAGTAAAGATTACCATGCATACCAGTACATTTTGGTGCCACTACCTTGATTTCTGCAAAGATGTCCACAGTTTATATTACTACTGCAGAACAAATGATAGAACAGTGGAAACAAACAAACAAACAATGTCTTAGTATAGTCATGAAAATTTTTGACCTCAAAAACCTCCCAGAAAGGCCTCAGGCCCTCCTACCAGGGGTCTGCAACCATACTTGGACATCTATTGTTCAAAAAAAAGTGACTATGTCTTCTTTCCTTGGATGGTTAAAAATATTTTTCAAACTTAACTTGCTTGAAATGGTATTCTGGATGTCCCATACCTCCTGAACTTATTCCTTTTCCTGGCTTTTCCCATCACAGTTAATACACAAACGATGCATTCAGTAGACTGGGTTTAAAATATTACGAAGTCAACCATCCTTTCTTATTTTTTTTTTTAAAGATTTATTTATTTGTGCATACAGAAGTGGGGTACACAGGCCAGAGGCTCAGGGGCGGTGAGAGGCTTCACCAGAGACAGAGTGGGGAGCAGAACAGGCAGATCGACGAAGTACACTGCTGAGGGGAGCCGGTCAGGAGAGGTCTGCCGCGCCATGTGGTCACCTCCGGGGCAGGCGGGAATCGAACTCATGCGGAAGCGGCTTTAGATTCTCAGTGCAGTGCTTTAAGCCGCTGCACCACCAGGGAGGACCCCCTTTCTTATTTTTTCCCTCTTACCTCCACAACCACTTCATTGCAAGTAGCTGTGTGCCAGCAGTTGTCCCCGAACTCATCATTCCATCCTGTCCAGTAATAACAACCTACTCCAAGCCACCACCCAGTGATACAACAGCCTCCGAACTGGTTAACCCTACTCCCATTCTATCACCCCACTTTCCATTCATTCTCCACCAGTAGCCAGGAAACTTTATAAAATCCAAATTAGATCTCTTTCCCCAACTCTCACTGAAAAATTCAAGCTATTTTCGAAAGTCTGTGGTCTGCTATCTGCTCTCACCTCTGCCCATTTCTCTGACCTAATCCTCTACAGGTCTCCCAATTGTATGCTAATGCTATGATATAGGTGGCTTTCTATTCTTCAAAGACAGTCAAGTTCAGAGTCTTAGCTATTGTTCCCTCTAGCTGGATTGACCCATATGTTCACTGGCTTCTTCCTTTTTGTCATTCATGTCTTGGCTAGTGTATAATCTTCTCAAAGAGGCAAGTCCTAACTATTTAAAGTTGAAGTTTTCCTCTTTCTCACTCTATAGGGCCCTGCAACGTGTTAGACCCCAACTCCAACCCCTTCATTAGAAGCTAATCTCCTGTAACCCAGCACAGCATGGAAGTAAATATATTCAATAGCTTTATCAGACCAACAGCTGACCCTAGGTCTCCCTGGCATTCAATTACTGTTAAGTAGGGGACTCTTTCAAATCATCTAATGGAAAGTATAGAGAATCTAGAGTCAGGTGACTAAGGTTTGAGTACCCTATCACTAGTTGTGTTACTCAGGTAAACTGGCTTTATGAATCGGAGTTTAAAAAAACAAAAAACTTGACGGTGCAAGGATGAAATGGTGGAGGGAATTTCAGGGGGCGGGACGACACCCAAGATAAGAAAGCATATATTGTACAAAAACAAAGAATGATGTAAAATATATATGTATGTATGTGTGCATATATATATATTTTATTTCTTTCCCTTCATATATATATATGAAGGGAAAGAAATAAAAGAAGACAAATTAGGAAGACCTAAACTTCCATATATCAAAAATCTGGAGTGACAGCCGCTAACGAAGGAACAGCTAAGGGGATGGTGAAATGTAAAGCCCTATTCTAATGGTAACACGCGGTCTAGTTTACAAGGACAATCACTACGAAGAGAAGCAAAGGCAGGGGAAAAGTTGGAATGCCAGGAGATCTCAGAGGGATGGCTGGCTCTCGCTGGAGACTCTAGGGTTTACCAGTAAACTGGAGATCGCTCCCCACCACCAACTTCGTCCTACTCGGCCGCTTCCCCTCGATCGCGGCTAAGAGTAACTGCCTTGAGCGCCTTCCTGCTCTTCCTTTCTCCCCATACCCGCGGATGTCCTGAACTTCTCACCTCACCGGCCGCACCATGGTCCCCTTCGAGGATGGAAACTCGCAGCGTTCAAGTTCTTGTTGGCGCAAGCAGCCGTTTCAATTCCCGCCCGAAACCAGATCTCGGGGCTCCCCGCCCCCTGCTACCAATCTTCCAATCACTGCCAACCACCCTGCGGTTGCGCGTGCGCACTAAGAAGCGCTGGTGCTGATGACGCCCTGCGCAAGGCCGTGCCCTTCCGCATCCGGGCCCCCGGACCTGGGCTTGTGCTCTGCCGCCGCACTTTCGTCACGACCCTGGCCTCTGCTCGGCCTCTGAAAAACATAACGACAGTAGAAACGCGCCTTGGCACATCTTTGAAGTGACTAAATTGAGGTATAGTGGAATAATGGGCGCTCAGATGGAGGCATTGTCTATAAAACTCGAGGAATAAGGAAAAGGTTCAGTCGAATCTGCCGAAACGGATCTCTTGGCTGGAACAAGAGGCTAAATCAGCTGATGTTCTCTGCGCAGCAACAAGTTGACAGCCGGGAGTGTGCGGGGTGCCCAGGACTTGCGAACCAGGTGAGATAAGCCCAGAACTAAGACTAGGAAGCTCTTTTCGGTGGAGGAGCTGTTCCCCTCACGTGGCTGGTGCTTCTCGGTTCCGGCCTGCGCTGCTTTTTCCCCATTGAAGCCTCAGATCCTCCACGGTGGCGGCGAGTTCAGCCCAACCCTCTCCCCTCTCCCCAGTTTAGCATGGGAGACTTTCCTGGTCTTCAACCCCTGCTGTAAGAAAAAAGAAAAAGGAAGTGGGGGGGGGGGAAGCAAGGGGAGAGGTTAGAGAAGAGGTTGGAGAAAGGAAATGAAACACGAAATGCTTAATCAATTGAAACCAGTGCTTTTTTCTTTACTGAAAATATTGAATTTAAACAGGAATAGACAGTGCACCTATATGTATGTAATTTTAAATCCCCTACTGCAGTGTTCCTGTGTCTTCATGTGCACTCAATTGTCAGTCTGCTATTTTCATTTTTTTACTGATTTGTTCTTAGGTGTCTTTTTTTTTTTATTACTACTAGCTTCCATTTATTGATAACCTTATGTTTGTCTGGTGCTCCACATTTATTACTGCTCTAATCCTTATGATAGTCCTACTCGTTAAACGGTCTCCTGGAGCCTATCCAAGCTGAGATGTAAACAGAGTAGATGCTAGCTAAGGAGAGGAGAGAATGTTATCAGTGCTGTAGGCAAAAGAAGAGCAGAAAGAGGGATTTGGTGTAAAGGAAGCTGAGTGTGACTGGAAAATAAAGTTTGTGAATTTGTGTGTTGGGGAGGAAAGGTGCAGCTGCTGTAAGAGGAGCCTGGAGAGAGAAATAAGGGTATTGGAAACTGGGTTGAGGAGTTTGAATATTGTCTTGAGAGCAGTGAATGTCACAGAAGGGTTTTAAAGCAAATGAGTAACATGAGCAGATAGCCACTTTAGAAACATTACTATGATTTCAGTATGGAGAATAATGTGAGAACTGATTTGATGGGGAAAGTTTGGAGACAGGGAGTCCAGGTAGAAGACTTATCAATAGATCTTCTTACCTTTTGATTTGGTTATCTTCTTTCTGAACAGTGACCACTTTGTCTTGTGGGGTATCCTGTACTTTGTATGTTATTTTTTCCTCTTCTTCCCACATGGAAATCTTTCTTCTACCCTCCATCCCGATCAGAGTTCATACCCACAACCTCTGAGACTTCCAAGACCTTGGAGGTTTTCTTGGTCCTTGATCTTTTTGTTTTGTATCCAGTGATCATATACTCTTTATCTATCTCCCTGTTATGCCTTTGAAAGAATCCACTCTTGTTCTGGTCGCTCTCCTGCATGCCTGTGACGATGCAGGTGTCTCTTTTTTCTTTCTACTTTTCCTAATTAACCTGACCTTTTAAAATAAAAACAACAACCCTCTTCTCATCACCTCATTTCCCTATTCTAGATAACACTACCTATGGCAACTATATTATGGGGCATAATTTTTTTTCTTAAGAGGTTTTAAAAGAACTGCTTTAATTTTTTTAAAAAAAAGCAGTTTCATGACAAAGCTGAAAAAAGCAGGGATAAATGTAGGAAAATCTGTAGTAAATGGCACAGATTTACAAAAGTACAATCTTGGAGTGATACTACAATGATGAAACATCATATTTTTTCAAGATTTATTTATTTATGCATACAAGAACTGGGGAGTGGGCCAAAGGTCCCGGGGAGGTGAGAGAATTCACCAGAGACAGAGTTGCAATACACTGAGGGGAGCAGTGGGTGAGACAGTGCGCCATGTGGGCTTTGCGCCATGTGGGGTTAGCGCCATGGCCCACTGGGTACTGAACTCTTGCTACAGTGGCTGATGATAGCTTTGCAGTGCTATCTTTGACCCCTGTGCCACCAAGGGTTAAAAATCATGTTTTTAATAGAAATGTAACCTGCTTTTTTTGTTTTGTTTTGTTAGTTTTATAGAGATCTTCCCAAAGAAGATGAAGAAAAACAGGGAAAGATTCTGCAACAGAGAGAGGGAATTCGTGTATAACTTTAAAGTTGGAAGTCAGTGCTTAGAACTGAGGGTACCCCTCAAATTTCCTGTTCAGGAGAATGCTAGTCATTTACATGGACGTCTGATGCTGCTGCATAGCTTACCATGTTTTATAGAAAAAGGTAGGCGTGATTTTTTAAATGCCACTTTATTTTCCTTTAGATGTTTTGAATTGACATCAAAAACCAAAGAAGTTTTTGAAACAGCCATAAATATGAAGTGCTTAATTGTTTTCAAGAATAAAAAGATAATCTGAGCTTTGTTTTATGGAGTGTTTTTTTTTCTTTCCCTATAACCCTTTCAGTTGTTTACAAGGTATATAAGTTATATAATGAAAAATTGGTTACATGGTTTAGATTATAGCTCCTAGCTTCTTTACTTGAGTTGGGTGGATACATCAGGCATTTCAGCCATTACTAATTAGGGTAGTATGCCATTATTTTGCTTACTGTATTGCCCTTTTAAAATAATCTAGTCTTCATTCCTGAGAAATACTAATCTTTGAATAATATTTGTTTGCCTAAGTGTATTCCATAAAGTCATTTGTGTCCAACCATCACAAAAGGTCTATGCTCTATCTCACAAATGAAGAAAACTTTTAAGTTGAGAATATGTTGAATCACACAAGGTTAGAGTTACAAGGAAACTTGGCAGCTCTAACACAATCTCATTGTATAAATAAGAAAACCAGTACATAAAAAGGTTAGCATATTTGTCTAACTAGTGGTTCTCAAAAGTTGTTTTCTGATCAGCAAATGCTGCAACACCTGGGAACTTCGTAGAAATTCAAAATCTTGGGCCCCACAACATTCCTGCTGACTCACATACTCAGGGTGGCACATAGCTATCAAGTTCAATAAACTCTCCAGGAAATCTGATGTATGCCAAGATTGAGGCCTGCTGGCCTATGGTGACAACAGGCCAGGTGTCCTGACTTGTTCCTCAGTGTTCTGTATGTCAGTCTCTAGTGACTAATTCAGCTGATTTAATTGAATTAAATAAATTTTAATATGCTAACTAGTCTCTTTCTCTTTCAAATTCTAATTTAACAAATATGCATGTTTTAAATATAGTTATCTTCAGCCACTCAAAATCTGTAGGTTTTCTTCAAATGTAAGAATCAGTTTTAAGAAATTAATGTTTATATTGTAATTAGCTTCAAAGTTGCACATAAGAGTTAAAAATTTTGACCATGTGTATAACCTATAATAATACAAATAATTGTGAATTTGGCTAAATTATCCCCTAAATTGGCTTTATTTTAATTAGATATCCTATAAAGAAATAAGCTTTCCAAAATAAGATTTCACATTTTGCCTGGCTATTTATATCTGGATTTTACTGATACTATTTGTTGTCCCTGTTAAAGACTTGAAAGAAGCTCTCAGTCAGTTTCTAGAAGAGGAATCTCTCAGGGATTATGACAGCGATGCTGAAGCATCCCTGGAAGCTGTGAAATCTGGTGAAGTAGATTTACATCAGCTGGCAAGTACGTGGGCCAAAGCTTATGCTGAGGTAAGAAAATAAATCAGATTATAATTTCAAGTACCTTCTGTGCTTAAAGGAGGGTTTTAAATTGCTAAGATAATGCTAAATTCAATTGAGAATTTTTCCTTATATACAAGAATTTATTCTGTAATGTACAGTGTAAGTTGCTACCTGTGTGCTTCCTTCCTATGTGGGGATAAGTACATAAGACGCTTACCTTTTGTACTGCCTCTGTAAAATTGGTGACTGCTTTTGTATAGGGCTACCAGATTCAGTAATTAAAAATTATAAAATTCCGGTCCTGAAGGGGGTTTCAAGATCAGTGTGTCACTATGCAGTAACCATATAGAGAATCTCACTGTATAGATACATAGCCTGGTTTTTAGAAATGGAAGACTCCTCTCTGATGATATAATTAATACATGTACATTATTGTACTGTATGAAACCTTAAATGTAGAAATATTATCAGAGATCCCAGTGTCCCGATACTTTCCTTTTTGTTACATAAGTACCTCCCCCAACTCCTGCCTCCATGTTAACAATGTCATTTATATCTTTCCATATTTTTGTATACTCAGGTAATCCATGTGTACACACAGATCTACAAACAGATGGTCTTTCTGTCCTTGTGTGATCTACAAAGATGGAATCATAGTTTATCTTGGAGTCTTAGTATATACTTTCATAGTAGAGTGTTAAAACACAATCCCATGTCTGAAGAATGCCTATGTATCATCTTGCAGACCACATTAGAGCATGCGAGGCCTGAAGAACCCAGCTGGGATGAAGATTTTGCAGATGTGTACCATGACCTAATCCATTCTCCCGCCTCTGAAACACTCCTAAATTTGGAACACAACTACTTTGTTAGCATCTCAGAACTGATCAGTGAAAGAGATGTGGAGCTGAAAAAATTACGAGAGAGGTATTCAGATTTCTTATCCTAATTGAATTATGTTGTCAAATGTGATGGTCTACAGAACCACTTTTCATTTTTTGTAAATGGAAGAATAAAATAGAAAAATATCTTTAATCTTTAGAAATTGTCTTTTGGGTTTAATCTATAATTTCAACTGGGAAGGTCCTCAGAGGCATATAAAATTTCTCAATTGTCGTCCCTAAATAAAGGTAGGTTTTTTATTCTTATTTCTAATAGGAAGAATAACTTGCTTATTTCTTGAACGTTTACTTTGTTCCAGGCATGGTACAAAGTATGTAACAATAGAAAACTATTTCTCACGGTTCTGGAAAATGGTTAATGCCAAGTCAGGGAACTAGCAGATTTGGTGTCTGGTGAGAAGCCACTTTTGCCACGTAGACAATGCCAGCTCCATTTTACAGTTTTAAATGTAAATGCCATTTTATATTGTACAGTTTCTTAGCACAATGTTAATATAATTACAATGATTTTTTCCCCAGGTGTCTTAAGGGTATAGAATTGTCATGCTTGACATAATGAGTCAATTTGTAGTTAGTATTTCATCTGAGATGTAGTATAATTTTTTTCTTAATTATAGAAATAGACATTTGTGTCATTAACTGTATAATTAGCTTCTTAGTATTTGCATCTAAGGTGAAATAAGGTTAATGAAATTATATTTGCTGAAATGTAGTTTCCCTCACTGGAAATGCACTTTTATAGCAAACCAGATTTCTTTTAAACTTAAAATAGCAATGATACCTTTTATCCACTAGAGGGAACATGTGTATTGTAAAATATTAATTATGCATCTGAGCTAGTAAATGTTTAGCTAGTAAATGTTGTATCTGTTTTAAATTATGAGACTGTACTTTCAATGTTCATTTCTATAGTTCATTAAATTAAAACCTTACTTGGAAGCATAATCTTTTTTTGACTTCAGTAGTTATAATAAAAAAGTTAATGGGGTCATCTGCATTAGAATTAAGTAGGGGGCCCTCCCTGATAGTTCATTGGGTTAAAGCACAGCACTGAAAAACTGGCCACAGCCACTTAAGTGTCAATTCTAATCCTAGCCCTGCAGGTAACCCACATGGCCTGTCTTGCCCACTGCTCCGCTCAGCAGTGTACTTCATCAATCTGCCAATTCTACTCCACACTCTGACTCTGGTGAATCCTCCCACCAGCCCTACACCTTTGGCCTGTATCCCAGTTGCATATGCTTAAATAAATAAATCTTAAAAAAAAACTAAGTAGGGATTAACATGGTATTGACGGTAAATATAGAAATGTATAAATGTATAGTAAAAGAATTTATTTCATCATATATATCTTAACCAGTTTACTTTAAAAGCATAAATTCATTTTAAGAGCAATTTACTTAAGCCCACTAGAATGATAGTAAAATCCTTTTAGTTCCTCTTTATGTTTCTTTTCCCCAAGTTTGATTGAAGTATGTTTTAGAATAGATTTTTTATACATTTGCATTAGAAGATTTTTTTAATGTTTTTTAATTGAGGTAACAATGGTTTAACTTGGGTTTTTAATGAACTTTTTAAAATGTAGCATGCAGAAAAAGTAGCACGGGTAGGTGCAGAGCTCAGCAACTGTTCACAGAGTAAGCACACAGTATAGTTATCCCCCAGATGTCCAGTGCCAGAAAGTACCATTTCTCCCAATAAATATTACCTGCACTTCTAATGCCGGTGGTTAGTTTTTCCTATAGAGAAAACCATTTTTAATTTCTGCACATCATTTGTTTGGATTAATGAAGGAGGTAAGGCTAATGCATCTTAAGAATATTTTTATGTTCTTTTGTAAGGGAATCTTTGTGACTTAATAACAGTTTGATTCTTAATACCTCATTGGCAGCTTCTGGCTGATGGATATGTGATCTACTTATTTCTGTTTTAGGCAGGGAATTGAAATGGAAAAAGTGATGCAAGAATTGGGGAAATCGTTGACAGATCAAGATGTAAATTCATTGGCCGCTCAACATTTTGAATCTCAGCAGGCAAGTCAAGTACAATGACTTTACGGTTTGCAGTTATGTTATGTTGTCTTTTTTTTTTTTTTGTAAGAAAAGTAACAGAGGGTGTACTGTCTCATTTTAGGACTTAGAAAATAAGTGGTCTAATGAATTAAAACAATCAACTGCCATCCAAAAGCAGGAGTATCAGGAATGGGTGATAAAACTTCATCAAGATCTAAAAAATCCCAACAATAGCTCACTCAGGTATGAACCACATGTTGAGCCACGCTTACTACATGAAAGTTCTTTGTTCATAATACCTCATATTTATTGTAAAGTTGAACCTTTTTAGTTGGAGATTTTCTTAAATGCCCAGTGAAAATTCAAGATAATTTTGTAATTCTTTTAAGACCTTTTATGGTTACAGACTGTGTGTGGATTGTTTGGGAAGGGGATTGATCGGTTGACTTGAAACAGTGACTTCTTCCCTAGAAGGTAGCTTTGTAAACCTCAATATCCTACCTACTATCTTTTATTTCTTTAAATTGGTTCCCATTCAGTTAACATTGGCTGAATGCTTCTTAATGTCAAACACTTTTCTAAGCACACACAAAAAAACAAGATACCTGCCCACTGGAGCTTATATTCTAGAGACCCACCTTTACATAAAATAATACCGTTAGGGTGATATGTGTGTAATCATGTACAAGGTACAGAAATAGGGTAGAAGACTTCCCATACTCATAGCTTGTGGAGTACCTAGGACCTCAAAACCATTTCATGCATCACCCTGGACCTTGACAGTGCCTGTGTTATGACCTGGGTCTATACTTGTGTATATGAAAATTAATTTCTCTTAAACCTAAAGTTTTGTGAAATATATTAGAAACAGCAGCTTCGTCTTTTCCTATTGTATGCCAAACATCTGGAGCTTGACACGGGCACACATGGCATACTCAGTTAAGTACTTAGAGGTAGATGGACAGATACAGAGCTCTATCTATCTATCTATCATCTACATCTACATCTATATATATATGAGCTATATACAAGATAGCTACGTCAACTTAACTAAATGTTACAATCTTTTGTTTTCCTTACTGTTTTTCTCAAGACAAGACCTTAAAAATATTTAATCAAATTTTAATGCAAGGACAAATCCTCCTATGTCAGAAGAATGGTGGGGAGAGGGACAGGAAGAAGGAAACAGTTTAAAACAATGGAGTATGTGACAATATCAAAATGAATGTCTTTTTTTTATAATCCCTTTTTATTTGATTATTTAATTTTCATTTCTTCACTTTGTCTATTTTCCATTTTTGCTAGAGCCAGCCCTAGTATAGGATATATTTTTTAAAATATGTCATTTTAAAGTAATGTTAGTCATGTCATTTAATTATTCTTATAAGCCATTAAAAATATTAAATGGTAATATATGAATTGATGTTTTAATGCCTGAAAAGGATAATATGCATTACTTAACTGTGAGGAAATGAAAGAACAAGTGGGAGTTTTAGAACCTACTATTGCTTATGATCTTACTAGTCTCCATGGATAAAAAGTGAGCTTAGGAATAAATTAGATGCTGCTTTCAGCTCTTTAGTTTTATTTCGTAATAAAGCTTTCTTTAAGAAAAGTTTCTAACAGAAAAAAATTCATAATTTTATTAATTTCAGTGAGGAAATTAAAGTTCAGCCAAGTCAATTCAGAGAATCTGTAGAAGCAAATGGAAGGATTTATGAGGAACAGAGAAAGTTAGAAGAAAGCTTTACCATTCACTTAGGTAAGCGTTACTTTTTTTGCAATCTTAATTTATATAACTTTTAAACCTCTTTATACCATAAGAGAAAAATCCTGGCCTATAAGTAGAATGTACATTATTTTTTTCCCCAAGTTATGTCCTGCTCCAAGGAAGCCTGTTGTTTGTTGGCTTATAAGTTTTCTATTTTAGCTTATACAGGTGTTTGTTTTTTTTTTTTGGCTCATAGAAAGATTAAATACGATTAGTTATTAACATGGGTTATCTCCAGGCCTATATTTAATTATGTATAATATAGATTTATCTGGGTTCTTACCATAAAGATTTGCACCCTGTTTATGCAGCATTTTTGTAGCTGTCTAAGCATCTGTCTGGGTCCGTTGTCCCCCCCTCCTCCCCCCATAGGAGCCCAGCTGAAGACCATGCATAATTTGAGATTACTGCGAGCCGATATGCTGGACTTCTGTAAGCATAAAAGAAATCATCGAAGTGGTGTGAAACTGCACCGACTCCAGACAGCGCTGTCACTTTATTCTACTTCTCTCTGTGGCCTGGTTTTACTAGTAGATAATCGAATCAATTCATATAGTGGTATTAAAAGAGGTAAGTTAACATCATAATCTAGACATTTCTTTAAATTCCTCCTTTTAGTATCATTCTTACAAGGAAGGTTTTATGGAAAAACTCAAATATTCTTGGCCTCCCAGTGTGGACCAGTGGCGCATGTGCTCAGCCATAGCTGGTCGACTTTTGTTTCATACTTTAACGTGGATGGAAGACTTCAGGATATGTCATTCTTAAGATTCTTTTATATTATTATTAGTACGCTTACAGGATGTTTGTTTCAGATATAACAAAAAGAATACTCATGATGTCAATTTTTGTTTCCATTTAGAAACAGCTCCTGATTCAGTGATTTTAGTTCACCTTTTGTCTTTTTCTTTTTTAAACTTGTTTCTTAAATTTACTAAATGAAGTTCTACCTTCGCTTTTAATACAACTAGCTTTGGATAATCTGAAATTTTTTTAATGTTAAAATATATTGAAATGTTTAACTATTTTTTTAAAAACATAAATAGAGTTTATTTCCTATCATAAGTATAAGACTCTAATTGTAGTTTGTAATACTTTTGGGAACTGGGTTATGATCAGTCTTGAAGTATATTAAAATTTCCTTGTCTGTTTATTACCTACTCTTTTGAGAGACTGACAGATTAAGTTTTTAATCGGAAGTGCTGCATCCTGACTTACTAAAAAGACAAATATAAGAACTCATCCTAGGGAATTGTAAATACTCTATACTTATACTAGAAATCAGTGTCTGTAAGCCTTATTGACAGTAGTCTAAAGATAACTAACATTGTCTATAAGTATATACGTGTCTAGTGGGCCACTAGACACTTGTAAACATTCTGGGTCTCTCAGACTTTGCCACAGTGTGCCAGGAATGCACCGACTTCCATTTTCCCCGAATTGAAGAGCAACTGGAAAGCGCCCAGCAGGTTGTCCTCTGTGCTAGGACCCAGCGCAGGAGTAAGGCGAAAGATGCAAATGGTGAGCCACACTCAAACTTTACTTTCACACTTCTGTCCCCAAGCACTGTAATTTAGCATAGGGGTTGTCTTTCAAATATAGAAAGTTTTATGGGTGGAAAGATGGAAGAAAGAAGTTAAGAGTGAAAGTCAAGATCTCAGAAGCCTGATGAATTCTGTTATTTCCTTTCTTGCATGGCTTTGTTCAAGATCCTTACCAAAAGCTGCCTGTAAAATTTGCTTTATTGTTGTTTGCTTGTTTATTTTTTTTATGCATATTTACATCATTGTTCATTTTGGCTCAGTGTTTGATTTCTCAGTGTTGTCCCTGTAAAATTACCATCCCAAGGTACCTGTGAACCATCACCATGGACTCTTGGGCTTTTCCCTCCCATTTTGATCTGTTCCCCACCCCCTCCCTGATGAACGTCTCCAGTTTATAGCTTGAGACTGCTGGTTTTGTCTCTTTTGCCTTTGAAATTTAATCTTATAGTTGTTCTTGAAGTAGTCTCTCTTGGAAAGTTACTGATCTTTCATCTAAGTGATACGTCTCCAAAATGAACTTAATTAGCACTATGGCGTATGGAAGTGAGAGGATGTAGTAGCACAAAGTACATATACTTTCTGTGTTCCATCTGGGATTCACTGAATATCCTGAAATCAGCTGCTTGTGGTTGTTCCTTCCAAAATTTGCTACTTCCTTGAATAATTGATTTTTCTGTATTTATCTACAATATAAATATTCTTTCTAAATTTTTAATAGATTCTGGAAAATGTTTTTAAAGCTATGGAAAAAGTTTGTGGCCTCTCCATTTAGAAGATTTCTATGTCTGCAGCAGGAAACTTAAGGGAAGACATAGGTGAAAGAAAAAAATCCCACTCAAAGCATAATTCTGTATTTAACTGAAATAGTGAAGACTTAAACTAGTACTTTCTTTATAAATTAAATCAGAGCCGTACTTCCATAGTTTTTTTTTAAATTAGGCACTAAAAATAAGAGTAATCATCATTTTAAAATATGTGTAAGGTATGTTTTTCTTTCACTGGCTTTTCATTTTGTTTCACATGTATAATATCACAATACATGATCTTACTTGTCTTGAATATATGCTCATTATTTTATTATTTCTTGTGGAAAACTTGATGGTCTTGCTGAGGAAACAGAATATGTCAAGCTTTAAAACTGTGGCTAGCCACACCTTTAAAGTCCCTCCTGGGTGTCCTTTTGTTTCTTTTATAACTGCTGTATTTAAAATAAACTACTACAGTGCTTTTGGTTCACATTTTTTGGTGTTTTGTTATAAGCAAAGAATGTTATTATAATCTTGCCTGTTGTCTTTGCTCCTCTCTCCTCTTGTAAATTGTGGAATCTCTTCATTTCTCCGGCTGCTAGATTTATTGAGGCAACTTGATTGGCATTTACTGTTGTTTCCTTATTTATTCAACAGACGTTAAAAAGACATGTTGTTTTTTAATTATTTCTTAAACAGGTAAAACATTCTCAAGAGTCACAATTCGAACTGTGCAGAAGAGCAGATAGTGAAGTCTTCATCATTCTGTCCCCCAGATACCCAATTTCCCAGTCCTAACGTAGCCAGTGCTATCTCATCTGTACCTTTCCTGACATGAGTTTCTGCATATGTGAGCCATGAATGTAGATCGTCTTTCCTGCACTCTGCTTTTTTCACTAAATAGTTCCTCTCTCCCATTTCTCATCAGTACAGAAAGGGCATCCTCTCCTCTCTTTCTGCTGCTTCGCCATCTATCTCAGGATGTCCCATTATTAGTCAGTATTGTATTGTATTGTATTGATAGACATGATCTGTTCTAAAGCTTTTGCTACTATAAGTAATAATGCACGAATAACCTTATAACTGCATTATGTCAGCATGTGTGTGTGTGTATGTGGCGACACATTGCTACAGAGTAAATCCCTAAGGGAAATTCCTGGGTTTAAAGGCACATACATTTAATTAGCATTTTGCTAATGTCACTCACTGCTCTGATAGTGGCTCCACCGGTTTATGTTCCCACTAAAGGTGACTGCAACTTTGCTGTGGCAAATTTGTGTTGTGTCAGAGCCAGGTTAAGTGTTAGAAAATCAAAATGTGAATAGGACAAAGGACCTTTTAGAAAATGCCTCTTACCCTTCTACATTTTCTTCCTCCATCTCGTTCGAACTAGCAGTGATGTGATCAGAAACATTTTATCCTTATTCTTAGTAGTGACTAAATGCATGAAGATTGAGATCATGACAGGTGTGGGAGAAGGAGGAGGATTCTAAGTATACTTGTGACAGATAGAAAGTGTGCAGTAAATGACAGGAAGTTTTTAAACCACATACGGTTAAGGCAATGCTTGTACATCATGGTATTATTTTGTTCTTGTCAAGCAACTATTTTGTGGTTTAAGTGAGTCAGTGAAACAAGTTGGTTTATAAAAGACAACTTTCTTAAAGGAACCTGCACGTACTTCTTGGAGGGTTTGTGAAAACACTGCCTTTTCCTCCCGTGTGATGCCTGTGGGTTGGTTCTGTGTTTACATCCTGATGTGCAAGTGCCTGTTTATTCCAAGACATTCCACCATTTCCCTTACTGTACTTATTGGATTCTTAGTAGCTTTGTATTTCTGTACTCCGTGATGAAAAGTCAAAAAGAATGTGTTTTGTGCATATTTAATACATTTTTTAAAATAAAAAATAGCCATCTTCTTAGTCAAAAGGTAACACCATTAAAACCTGAAGCGGGTGGGACGAGGTGGGAAGTGGGTGAACTGTGACTCTTCTCTCTTATTATTTTAGTAAGGATTCTGTTGTTTTATATCTCATGTACATAAAATTAGTCTTTGTTTTTAAAATTGTGCTGTGACATTAATTCAAAGCTGGTCCGTTAAGCTCTGTGTAAGAAGCTGTTAATTACATTGTATTAATTATGGATCCTGGCAACATGAACCTTCCTCTATGCCTTTTTCTCCCGCTGTCACCTTATTTCTAAAATACATGTTTTTACAAGTTATGATGTTATAAGTCAAGTTGTCAAAGTAGACGCAAGATAAGAATATTAAGTTACTTTTCAACTGTACTGTCCCCTAGACATTTGCAGTTCATTCATTTGAAGTTTTGGTAGTTTTCAAGTGATTTTCTGATGATGAAAACATCCCAAAATAGCTTCTTATTTTATTGGAATAAATATTTAGTCTCTTGAAGATAGCCACTTGAAATGCTAATATTTATTCTGCATTTTCGAGTTCAGATAGAATTCTTATAAAAATCAGATGTATTTTCTATTTTTTGTCATTTTAAAAAGCAATCTTTTTTTAAACAACATTTTTGTTTTCTAAGTCATAAACACAGCACCCACCACCATCTCCTCCTCTTGCTCCCACCTTTTCTCTTCAGGTAACCTCAGGTCAGTTACCACTGTCTATATGCTGGCTTTTATTTTGTTTTGTCTGTTCCTCCCTTTTACTTCCTTATATTGAGCACTGAAGTGAAATCATCCAGCATTTGCCTTTGTCTTTCTAATTTTGCTTCACATAATCCCTTGAATTCTTTCTATTTTGCTTCAAATGGCAAAATTTCATCTTTTAACTGAATAGTATGCCATCCTCGCTGTGCATTCTCCTATCAGCGGGTACCTAGGTTGCTTTCAAATCTTAGTTGTTATAACTAGTGCTGACCCAAACATTGTGGAGTGCACAGCTCCTGGGTTGATGACTTACTTCCTAGTCTTCAGATGGATACTGCTGGATCAGAGGGTAGTTCTGTTTTTAGTTATCTGAGGAACACCCATAGTATAGTTGTAGCTCCTATTAGACATACATGTATGTATGCAAGTAACTTATGTATGCATTACTTATGCAGTAATGCATGATCAATTGTGTCTTGTTTCACCAAACGTCTATGCTTCTAAATAACATGATGGCTTCTAAAAACATAAAACTTTGCAGTATCTTTTAAAAACTCTCATTTCAAACAGACATGAGTCTGTTTGAAATAAATTGTATCTGATTGTCAGACAAGAAGTACCAGATTTCAGAAATGGGCTAAATTTCAAGTGATTCCTGGTGCTACTAACCATTTGTTTGTATTCCTGAACAAGTTAGTATCAACAACAATGACTCAGATTCTAAAAATAAAAGATGGCCACAGGGCAGCTATCTAATGAAGGTATTTTATGTGTGGTTGATTTAGTACCCTGAACCTCCCAGATGAAAAATAGGATATTGGCAGGGCTAACGTGGTTAAGAGGAGGATTGGAAATCTGAGTACGTGAGTTGAGGACTTAGTTTCACCACCATTCCGTTCATCCTTGGTTATTTTAATTAACCTATCTAAGCTTCTGTCTCCTTGTGTATAAAATGAAGACAGGAGTAGTATGTATGTACTATAATCCTAAGGTTATGATTTTCAGGGTTTTATAAGAACTAATGTTGCTGATTCATGTGAAGCATGGATCAGAATGCCTGGCTCCTAGAGATCTTTAATTTTGTTGTTGTGATTGCTTGGGGAATAACATTACTGATATGTTTTCATATGTTGTTATGTTATTTCTTATTGTATTATCTTATAACTAGATTCTGGACACCGAAATGGAGGAAATGATGATAAGGCTAAAAATGCTGATAGAAACTATTTACATATTTTACCTGGTAAGTATTATTTTAAGCTGTCTTTTTCTTATAATCCCTTACATGAAAATCATGGATTGGAAACCTATGTCCTTGGGCATGCACTGCAGAGAGCTTGTTGGTTTTTCACTTTGAAGCAAAATTATTTCAGTTGTATACTTTCAGAGTTATTCTGCATTTCAATCTTTAGACTTCTACTAGTACTGACTTTTTTCTAGATCTATAAAAGAAAATTTGCATTTGTTATTTCATATTTCACCCTTTATACACTGTTTCTTAATAAATAAGCCAAGAAATATTTTTTATCCTGAAATCGAAACAATAGTACATTGAGATCTAAACAACCAAACCTGAAGAAACTGGGTCACCTTACTTAAAAACCTTTCCTGTTTCCATTTCCCCATAAATATTTGATTTCCATTTTTTTTCATTCCCTTTATCATTCATGAATATGTTACTTATCAATGGGAAATTTAGTCTCTTGATTCCCTTCTAAGCTGAATACACTCTAATAAATCCTTACTTATAACAGTATAAATCCTTATCAGTATTTGTGTGATGGGATGACAAGGAAGGTCTGTTTGTTTACTTTATAAGCATAAAGTCTGTTGCCCAAATGGAAACTTTGCCATTTCATAAATAACCAAGGTTGTTTCCTCATACTTCCTTCCCCAGATTTTCTACGGAGGTCCTAGCCCACCTAATCTGAGCAAATAGCATACCCGTCTCTGGTACCCATCTTGTCGGCCCCAGTGGCTTAGCTTGTGGTCATCAGCTTCCGAACTTCCTCCCACCTTCAAGTACCCTACCTTAGTGGGTAATGCTAGAGCAGGATTACGTCACCACATGCCATTTCCTCTACTCTGTACAACAGGAAACAATCTTCCTCTCTGTCTAAAAATACTATCATTGAGACAGGATTTATTGTATTTCTCTTCATAGATCCATAATTTAGATCATCCATATTTTGTGACTTTCTTAAAATGTACCAATCTTGCTAACTATTCCAGAGGTACTTAACTCTTTGTTGCTACATGTTTTTCATTCCTTACTCCTTTTTGGAAAAAGTCTAGAAGTTGGTATCTCATTATACCATCAAATCAGGAGACTATGTCACAAGTTTGGATGACATAAGGAACATTAAATTGTTCAGTTAGTCTGATAGCATCTGAATTTCCATTTAGTTATAGGATCCCTACACAGCCAGGAAATTGACTGGAGATGAAAAAAGTTCCAAATCCCAAATTCTTAAGGGGCAAAGAAAAACAGTTTTACATATATATTTATTTAGTTGTTTAGTTATTTAATGCATTAGCTGAGAATTTGCAGTTAATAACATCTTATTCTTATAATTAAAGGAATCACAGAAGATCTAGTTGAATTGATTTTCCCAAGAATATTCAGACAATAATTACTGGAAACTCAGCTCCTTTTTTGCTCTATGAGATTGTCTGGTTACTATTCCCAGCTCCAGCCCCATTTTACTCATAGGTACAGTGAGGATGAGAGAGGAGTCATCTGAGGTCAGTCATCTGAGGGCCAGTTTGGGGACTAGGGCTCCTGGCTGGTGTGTTAACTCATCCTTCTTCGCTATTACTGACCCATAGCCCCTGTCAATGCTACGGGTTCCATCATCTGAATGGTCAGTAGGGATTGAGGAGATGATGCACTGAATGGGTCCAGAGCTTATTGTCTACCAGGATTTTGGTCAGAATTCATATCTTCCTTGCCTTCCAGGGAAGTCAGTATACTGGTGTTCATTAATGATTTTTTTTCTTTGTCTAGTTTATTTTAGTATCTCTGTAGCACTTCTTTATATGCTTATTTGGTTCTCTTACTAAGTTCTAAAACCTGCCAGTAGTATCCATGAGTGCCATTTGTGAACTGTACATAGGTGATTAAACATGCACAGAAACATATCAAAGACTTTAAATATACTAGGTATTTATATGTAGAGACAAGTAAAATCTTGAGCCAGTGACTCTAAAGCAAGGGTGAACAGAATTTGTGAGGACAGGGCATAGGAATGAAGCATAGTTTTAGAAGAGCAGAGCTTCTCTAAAAGGACATACCTTCCAGTAAGACATACATAATTGTAAAACATATATTCTTAGTATTTTTTATTTCATTTATTTTTATTGACAGAAACTGAAGAATATAAAAGCTGATGAGATTTTTCTTGACTAGGATGGTTGATATAGGAAGCATGGGTTTTAGTTTTAGGGTTTGATAAACACTGCTCCAGCATTCAGTCTAAACATTTATTCATTCAACAAGTATTATTGAGTACTTCCTGTGGACCAAGCACTAATTCTGTGTGCATGACACAGATCACTAACTGAATGAAGATTAGTCGCATAAATTGAGATGGGGAGGAGCAGATTCAGGGTGTTGGGGAGATGTAATAAGGAACATCTTAAGCAGGCCATGTCAAGAATTTACATCAAAATAGTGACTATGAGTACTCATTTGACTGACTTACTACTTCGTCATCTCTTCATACCAAGGTATGAACCTACTGCAAAATTAGCTTTTGTCTTATTTTCATTACCTTCTTTCCAAGAACAGGGAAGCAGCAGTAATCAGATCTTTGTCCTGAGCCCACTGTGCTCCTGATCCACTTTTCCTAGGTCAGCACTTGGCATGCTCATTGCAGATGTGAAGTATGATTTATGCATTTGAAAACCATGATTTCATTTCCTGTTCACAGGAGAATTTTATATTACACGGCATTCGAATCTCTCAGAAATCCATGTCGCCTTCCACCTGTGTGTGGATGACAACGTGAAGTCAGGAAACATCACTGCTCGTGACCCTGCCATCATGGGGCTCCGCAACATCCTCAAGGTTTGCTGTACCCATGACATCACCACAATAAGCATCCCGCTCTTGCTGGTGCATGACATGTCAGAGGTGAGTCAACCGGGAAATACTGTAATTTTATAAAGACGGCCCTCAAATTGTTTATTAATGATCATCAGACATATTTTAAAGGCACTTTTTTGTCCCATGACTGGATCTTTGCATCTCCCATCTGGTTGGTAGACTTGAGTGACGTGTAACAGAAAACATGGAATAATCCTTATCATTTATCTTCAGAGAATTATAGCATGAAGTAGGTGAACTGGAAAATCATGACTACCTTTAGCTTTGGATAAAGCGTGTGCCTCTAATCTCTTTTTCTCTGTCCTGCTCTTCGTCCTTCTCCATTTTTGTCTAAAGTGGAAGTTGGTTTACCTCCAGTTTATCTTTGGCTCAGGGTAGCATTAAAACTAGTTGCATATTCTGGGTACTCATTAACAGGCGATGGAAAGAGATGCTAGAGGACTGAAAAAAGCTGGCCTCTGTTTACCATTTTCTCAAGGATGTTCTTTGAATAATACAGGTTTTGACTTTCACAGTTAAAATGTGGCATAATTGTTTCTCATTTTGTTATATATTATACTTCTGTTTTATTTTTTTAAATCTCTTTGCTTGACTGCTTTCTCTCCTTGCTTTCTTCCCTAGGCCACAAAAAAAAAAAAAAAAAAAACCTGGGTAATGGAATGATTATAGAACTAACATAAAAACTAATTTCAACCACAAATATTCTGGAGGAGCAAAGTATGCTCAAGCCGAATGGGTACAGGCGAGGCCTTGGAGAACCACTGGTCAGCCTGCCTTGGCTACACTCTGTCAGCAGTTTGGTCCTGCATGTTTGTTTTTTTTTTTTAATTTATTTTTTATATTTTATATTTATTATTTATTTATGCATGCAGAACTGGGGTACAGGCCAGAGGTGTGGGAGGTGAGAGGATTCACCAGAGACAGAGTGGGGAGCAGAACAGGCAGAGCTACGAAGTACACTGCTGAGGGGAGCAGCAGGCAGGTCAGGAGAAGTCTGCTGCCATGTGTGTCACCTCCGGGGTGGAGATCGAACTCATGCAGAAGTGGCTTTAGCTTCTTAGTGCTGTGCTTTAACCCACCGCGCCACCAGGGAGGGCCCAGTCCTGCATGTTTTGAGGTAGCATTTTTTACAAAGCAAGATCGCTAACTGGCCAGTGCAGACTGAAATGTCGGAAAGTTTGATTATTGATTATTGAAAGTTATTTTCCTAAATAAGGAATGTGTGCAAATGCTATAACATGAGATGTTAAAAGAGTTTTGTTTTGCTTTTTAGATTGACTTAGTCATTATAACATTAGACGTCATTTTAAATGTAATACCCTGTATAATCACACGCCCACAAATAAATCAACTCCATGAAAAACAAGCTGACTTTAAACAATGCCCCATTTACAATCCATTTGCATTTTCTCCAAGCACATTATTGCTTTGAGTTAGAGGATTCTGACCCATTCTAGAAAAACTTGACCAGACTTTGCTTCTCACTCTGCTCACTTCTGTACACTTGTTCATACCTAATGTGGTGTCTGGAGAGATTGACAAATACGTCTTTTTTTCCTCCCTGTAGCTTTATAAAGTTTTACTTCCACCAGGAATATTTAGCCATTGTTAAGCGATCATCACCAACTAGTCCTTCTATAAAAGGGTCTTTGGGGAGTAACAAAGAAAGCTTGTGATGAATTCCAGCCACCAGGAAACATCCCAACCTTCCTGCAGCTGGACTCCTGGTTAACCAGTTTACAAAAATGGGTACATGTAGGTGGGCAACAACCTCAAAAACAGTTTCCAAAAGTCGCCAAGTTCAGATTTACTTCCAGACATCGGATACTCCCGGCATTCCCTCTCCCACACTGTCACAGGGCCGTGTTTTAAATTGGGACAGCCAGCTGCAGGACATTAAGTTTGTTTCCAAAGTGTCCATTTTCATTCACAAAAGTATATTGAGTCATAATCCTCCCATTTGTTGTATTTAAACATCCATTCAGGTCAAGAGGTTTATTCTGTGAACTCAGACAGCACAGGCCATAGAGGTAACTTTAGCTCCTGTGCATTTTCAGCTATTGTTTTTCTCCTCTAACACACAGCCTTGCTAGACATCCAGTTACACATTTGAGTGTGTGCAAGGTAATGATGCCGATATTTCAAACAGCCTGTGTCGTATGGTAGATTTAAAAAAGAACTGAGTGTGGTGGTGCTTAGTGGTGGGCACAGCTGCCTTCGAGAAAGGAACTGTAGAAATTGTAGCTTTAAAAAAAAAAAAAGAAATGAAAAACTAATGTACTAGGGAAAAGACAGTCAGACTGATATTACCAGTTTTTAATCTCTACAGGTCTTTGTGATCTAAGAAACTGTCGCTGGCATTGCCATCCTGCAGAATGAATCTCCAAGGCAAGAGTCCTGAGGTCTTGACTCTTTACTTTTATTATTTACTTTTTGAATAACTTGAAAATTAGTGATTTTAATTGTGGTGTTGTGACTGATGAGATGTTGTGTTGGAGTATCATTCACATACAACTTAGTATTGGAGTAGCATACACATGTGGAAAAGTTTACATATTGTAAGTTTATACCTCAGAATTTCAAAACTTGGACACCCATGTAACTAATGCACAGATCATGAAACAGAAGCCACCCTTAAACCACATTCCTCTGCAAGGGTAAACACTTTTTTCACTTTAGAAACCACGCATTAGTTAGGCTTGTTTTGTGGTTTATATAAGTGGGATCACATATATATACAGTACGTACACCTGTATCTGTCTCCTTTCACTGTTATGTTTGTGAAAGTCACCGTGCTGTCGTCTGTGGTCACAGCGGGTCAGTGCTCACTGCCATAGATTCTTTCGCTGCATGACTAGGCCGTGATGATTTAGCGGCTCTACTATTTATGGACATTTGGGTGGTTTCCAGGTTTTGTTTATTACTACAGATGGTGTTGTGAACATTGTAGCACATATATTTTGCTATTTCTGTTGGTTTTATACTTAGGGATGAAATTGTTAAGTCTTCGGGCATGCATATATTTAGCTTTTGTAGCTACAAGCAAAAGTTATCCTAAGTGGTTGTGCTTAACCCATTGTGTTTAGATATGAAAAATAAGAAAGCCAGACAATTTCTCACCATCTTACAATGGCTGTGAAACTGAATGGAAGGAATATTTATGTTCTTAAGACATAAAGAACAGTGTTGCAGTCTCCTCCATAGGTGCATAAGCTAAAAGCAATGATTCTCATATTTTCAAGACATATACTGAAGACCTAAAGCCATATACCTGTAAATCTTGATCATCTCTACACATCCATCTTACTCTAACCAGAAAATTTGAGTATTCAACTGTTGCCATTAACTTTAGCTAGAAGGTATTATCTATGATCAGAAGTGACATTTAACGTCGGTATCACAGGTTTAGAATTTATTCTTTGTGCAGCGCCCACTTATCATCTAAAGTAAACCATAATACCCAATTTTCGGACTCAGTTCCAAAATCTAAAATGGTTTCATATGATCTGCCCAGCTTCTTCAGTTAACTCCATGTAGTGTGTCCTCAGAGGTGTGACACTAAGATTCCTCACTTTGCCATCATTTGGAGCCCATCATCAGTAATGCTGCTCCATGTTTCCTGACCTACTGCACTGTATAGCCCTCTGCTGTGTAGTCTAGATTTTATTTCCAGAAGTCAGCTCCTTGTGGGGTGGCAAATCACATCCCACAGTGGCAGCAGGAAGTCATGTCTTGTCACGACCTCACTGACTTTAAAGCTTATGGTTTACCTTTTCCAGCTACGCAAAGCCATTCTTTTTAATAACTAGTTTGAATCGGAGACAGAATGACGAGATGTGTAGCATGGAGCCTCTGTGCAGGCCTATGAAAGCTTTAAAAACAATTTGGATGTGTCTGTACACATACACGTGCGTGCAGCTGTCTGGCATTTACTTTCTGATTCATATGCTGCTAAACAACATTAAGTTAAAGTAAATAGAATATCAAGGTTTCAGTCATCTGAGATTAAGTTAATTTATCACTTCAGAGTTATCCTGGGAACCTGCCGTGATTGATATTTTGAGATGTTCTCTGAATAGCACTAAGAAATGCTGTCACTAACTGACATCATTAGTTTATTTCCTAGATATTTGTTTGAGACTATAATTTTAACCAGCTAGAAAGTAGAAAAAGTTGATGATCTTTGGTGTGTGCCAATGAAAAGACTTTTTATTGCCGTCAAGTTTTGACCACACCATTAGAACCATCCCATGTCTAGCTTGTGCCTCAGTCGTTCATTTACCACTATTAACCTGATTTTACTACATTGAGATAATGTATATTCTATTTGTTGGTGTTCAAAAATAGCCGTTCAAAAGCTCTGCACTTATAATTTGCATTGGTTATCCTTATGTGAAAAGTGATGTTTAGACTTGAACCTAACGTGAATAATTCACAGGCTAATCATAGATGTCAACAACTAATAGATTGTAACACAAGTTGCTGTCAAATAATGCTTATGATGTGTATATAGGCTTCATTGTAATAGTATAACTAGTAATAATTCCTTGATTCTGATTATTTCCAGGGTATTACAAAAAATGTTACATTTTAGAAAAATAATTTAAGATGATACAAACACTCCATTGTATTTTGGTATTTACTCCCACATGCAATTATTCAGCAAAGTATTTAATCAAGATAAAGATAAAGTAGGGCCTTCAGAAAATGAAACACCCATGAATAGGACCAGCAGAAATGAACATAAATCAGATATGCAGATGCTTGAGGCACTCCCATAGTGAAACTATCAAATAGTTGGTAACTGTGTTTTAAGACCTTGAAGATAAGGTTAAAACATCTTTCAATAAAAAGCTATAAAAAAAGACTTAGTAACTACAAAATTCAGTTTATAGTTGCCAAAAGAAATTTTAAGAGATTTATAAAAGTGGAGAAATAGACTGTTCTTAGGTTGAAAAACTCAGTTTAGTGGAGATAAAAGTTCTCAAATTGATCAATAAGTTCAAATCCCAATCAAATTGTTATAAGGCAATTCAGAAGAGACTGACAAGCTATTTCTAAAAGTTATATGAAATATTCAGTGCCTAAAACAGTCAAAATTTAAAAAAGAAAAAAGAGCAGTTAGGAAATTATACACCCAAACTAATTTCAAGACTTACTATAAAGTTACAGAAACCAATACAATATGATATTGGCAAAAGAATAGACTGTACATCCAAGGAACAGAATGGAGAATCCAACATATTTGGTCTTCTGATTTTGACAAAGTTGCTAATACAGTTCAAAGGGAGAAATGATGGTGGCAGAATGAAATATCCATATTTAAAACAATCCTTGGCCTTTACCTCCCACCATGTATAAAAATCAACTTCAAATGGATTATACAAAAATCAAAAGAGCTTATCCTATAAAACTCCCAGAGGAAAACATAAAAGAAAATCTTGATTATGCAGGTTTAGCAAACATTTGTTAGGATATAAAAAATGCAAGCCACAAAGGAAAAATTTAATACATGGTACTTCCTTAAGATTTTATGTGTTTTAAAGCTTTCATCAGGGTTTAAGAAGTTGGAAAATAATTTTCAATGTATTTACAGTTGCTACATTTTAAGATAGAACTGTTGACATCATTCTTTTAAATTTACACAGTGAAATTTAAATACTATAATCACACCCACTTTCATTTGCTTTAAAAATACCCAAACTTTTAATAAACAGAATTTTACATCTTATTCTCTTTGAACTCAATTCCATTTCTCTCTATTCCCATCGAATTTTTCCTGTTGTAATATCTTTTATACCTTAGTATCTTATATAAGTCACCTTGCATTTCCCTATAGTGATATGTGTATAATTAATTAAAATTTTTATAATTCATTTCTGTGATCATAATGCTCTAATTTTTCTCTGCATAGATTAGCAATAGTCTATAAGTATTCAAAAGAATATATTGTATATTTTGATGATCTAACATGCAGATGAAAAGTTCATCTCTTACCCAGATGGATAGGATTGTGTTTTTCCCAACTGATGTTATCTGTAAATTAATGTTAATTATTACTAAAATTAGGTCCATTATATCAATGTCATTGACTTTATTCTTTATTAATGTAAGTTTACTTAATATAAAATTTGCCATTACAGACATTTTAACCTGTACAATTCTGCAACTCTTCATCATCTATTAGCAGTCACTCATATTAGCAGCTCTGCAACCTTCATCATCTATTAGCAGTCACTCATTATTTCTCCCTTCTTGCAACTCCTAGCTACCTTACTAATCTTTAGAAGTAAATATCCCAAGGAATTGTTCCACAAATTATATGCATTTAGCATTGCAGTGATGTTTATCCATATTCCAAAATATATGTATGCATATTCATATGTGAATTATAAATATGATCTCTGTAATATCAGTAAAAAAAAAAAGTGGACATCTAGCTAGAAGCAGGTGTTCAAATAAATTTTGATACATTAACTCAATAAAAAAGTGGTCAAATTGTTTTCTGAAGACCCCACCCTTCAGATCCTAGTGCCTTTTGGGGATCAGAAAGATTAAAAATGTTTTCAAAATTACACTAAGACATTATTTGCCTTTTCCATTCTCATTCTTGCATGAATATCAGCGGATTTCTTCAGAGGCCACGTGCTGTACAATAACACACTAGACTGAGTCAGTTCAGATAAGAGATTCCAGATGAGGGAGCCTTCTCCCTAGTAAATAGTCTTCCATTAGGATAAGCACTGAGGAATTTACAGAAATGTAAAACATTGTCACCCTTCTCACAAGAATATTTTTGTTTTGAAAAATATAATTATTTTCTATGTTTGAAAGTTATGTTAATGGATAAATACAATTTTTAAATGAAATATGCTTGTACTTAATATCTGATGCAAAAAATATCAAGTCCATATAAACAAAGGTTCATTAGGATCCTCAGCAATTTTTAAGAGTGTATACGGTCCCAAGACCCAAAAAGTTACACATTTCATAGTTATAAGTCTGAGGAATTGCAACATGATAAAACAATTCTGTTGCTAATGAAAAGAAATAGAATTTAAAAGTGATATAATCACTGATCATAACTGGAAAGTTATAAAAGTGCATCTGGTCAAAGATTAGTGCATAGGGCTCTACTCATTTTCTTTTTTTTTTTTTAATTAAAGATTTTTATTTATTTATGGATACAGAACTGCGGTACAGGCCAGAGGTGCAGGGATGGTGAGAGGATTCACCACACACAGAGCTGGGAGCAGAACAGGCAGATAGATGAAGTACACTGCTGAGGGGAGCAGCGGGCGGGTCAGGAGAGGTCTGCCTCGCCATGTGGATCTCCTCCGGGGCAGGCGGGGATCGAACTCAGGCGGAAGTGGCTTAAGCTTCTTAGTGCAGTGCTTTAACCCGCTGTGCCACCAGGGAGGGCCAGATTCTACTCATTTTCAAAAAAATATTGAACATTTTCTAAATCCTAGTTATATATGAACTAACTCTACTGGCAGGAAAAAAATCTGAAAAGATATCACATCAATAAGAAAAAAGAAAGGAATGTAGAAAATGAATGCAATATAGTTAGGCTATTGGGTTTATTTCTATTTAATAACAGGTTATGCAGTAGACATTTTAATGCATTATTCACTTAGATAATTTAATAGAATTAAATTAATTATTAATTATTAAATTCTATTATTAAATTAATAGAATAGCATTTTGGAACTAGTAGGTATAGTTCCTACATCACTTGTTTTTTTATAGTTAAGTTTATAGGAAGTTTTAAGTATATACTTATTTTTTAGTCATATTTACAAAATGAGTTAAATTAGTTTGTATTCCACAGGCAGAGTTTAACAACTGGAAGAAGTTATATGACTAGAACCCAGACAAAATCCAGCTGTAAATACTAAAAAGTTACCCAGATCAATTTCTTTACAGTGTGGTTGGTCAACAACATAGATAAATGAAGATTTCACTATGTATTTTTTCACAAAGTTCTGTTAAAACATGATTTGTCTTGTTTCTATTTTTAGGAAATGACTATCCCATGGTGCTTAAGAAGAGCAGAACTTGTGTTTAAGTGTGTCAAAGGTGAGCATACCTTATATTTAATAATGACCTATATTTCTGTCTTCCAGATATCAAAAGTAAATCAGCCCAGGAGAAAGAATGTGAACACTACCACTGTCATCTGATACCTCAGTTAAAATATCGTAATAAGTAAATATTTCACAATGGGTTTTTTTTCACATACCCTTTTTCAGTTTTAAAACAAACCAGCCCTGTTGAAATTCAAAGATATTTGCATTTTCTGACTTAGTGAACCATATACTTCACGGACCCTTCCTAACCTGCTTTAGCTGCAATGTATGGAGACTAAGTGAGACTTGAGAACGCATAAGTAAAAATGGGTTGACAAGACTCTGCTCAGCCTCTCTGGTGTGGAGGATCAGGGCCAGCAGTCTATTTGTCCTGCAGGCCCAGCTTTCCAACGAGCAAGTGGTACTGAAAAGTGCAGGCGTAACGTTTTCCTTTTTCTCTGTAAAGGACTAGTACTCATAACTCAACAAAATTGTTTGTTCTCTTTTTAGGCTTCATGATGGAAATGGCTTCATGGGATGGAGGAATTTCTAGGACAGTGCAGTTTCTGGTACCACAGGTCTGTTATCTGGAATGTGTGTGACAGGGTTCCTCATACTCATAGGCACACTACCCAAAACTCAGCAAGAACCAGCAAACAGCTTCTCTTTCAAGGAGAGAATTGTTTGGATGCCAGAAGGTCACTTAGTTTATTGTCAAAGGTGTCTGCTGGTCAAGGGATCTACTAGTTAACCCAAAACCAGACTTGCTTCATTATTCCTTTGTTTGTTTCCACATTTATGTTATATGCATTTCCTGTGTTCGTAAAGTAGGGCATTAGTAGATTCTGTGTAGAAATCTGCAAATTCACTAGTACTTTCTTTATCAGTTATACTAGTGTTATCTGGGGGTGTTTCTCCTTAGCACACTTACTTGACAGAAATAATAGTATTTCTCAGAAAATGGAGCCAGAAGCACTCACCACCGATCCCCAGCTGAAAAAGTCAAGCACTTAAATCAGTCATGAAGGAGAATTTTCACATTTCACTCCACGTCTACAGCTAGTCCCCTATTTTAAAATCTGTTCGAAATTTAAAAACGAATTATTTAACAAGCTCAAACCTTTTTTTTTTTTTTTACCCCTTACAGAGTATTTCTGAAGAAATGTTTTATCAACTTAGTAACATGCTTCCTCAGATCTTCCGAGTTTCATCAACACTTACTCTGACATCCAAGCACTAAACCTTATAGATTGACATGCTGGCAGGAGGATTGTTAACCTCTCCAGGACCTTGAGCTGTGCTGGGACTTTGTCAAGCAAAAATGCCCCAAAAGATAACTTTCAACCTGCGCCACATACCTGATCATGAGACGTCTGTTCAACGTTCCAAAATGTACACACTGTACAGATGAGTGACTACTTTTTTTTTTTATTTTACAAAAGTTTATTTTTACATCATTTTGTACATTTTTTTTTCCATCTCAATTGTAATCCCTGCGGGTTTCCCATCACCAAGACGAGTGACTACTTTTTATGAACACTTATTCTAAAGTTTCTTAATGAAAAAAAAAACCTCTCTTTTCCTACTGTTAGACCTTATCTGTGAATATCAGTAAGTTCAGACTTCCCATATATCATTCATGGACACTTGTTGTGAGAGATTGTTCACCTCGTTTTCATGGAGATGTTTGGCTTTTCCAAAAGGTCTGCCTCCTGTCAGGTGTGAGGCTTCTCTCACAGGGATGTGTCAAGTCTTCCTTCAACCTGATTTACCAAGTGAAAATTTTAAAGAATGGCAATATACTTAACAGGTATGGATTTCTTGTGAAAATCTTTATGTAGAAACAATGAGACAAGTGTGCTATTTTCAAAACCTGTTTCAAGAAGTCACTTTTAATGGACTCTTTCTAAAGTTCTGTAAGTTGGAAAAAACTAGATTCTTTCCTTGCCTCATCTTTCATGAATGTGGCCTGTTAATAATACTTCTTGGGCTGGGAAAACTGTGCGTTGCCAGCTCAGTGGAAAGCTGGTCTAGGCCAGCTCATGTGTTTTTACTTCTCGATCCTTCCTGCCTTCTCAACTTCCTTTCCCCTTCCTCTGCTGTTTGCATTTCTTTGCTGATGCCCTGGTTTCTGCGTCTGTTCCCTTTGCCCTCCTTTCCCATTGGTTTTCCTCGTAGAACTACTTTATCAGACACTGCGTATCACTTATTTTTCCCCTATCATGTTTGCTGTGAGGATTGACTGCATTGAGCAGTGACATTTATAAAGAATCATTTCATCCAATCCAGGCTGTATGGATGTGGTAATTGGCCAGTGGGATGAAACAGAGACCTTTGACGTGCATCAAGTTGGTATAAATTGATTCCAAGAAATAGGACACACTCAGTGTGTGCCGACACACAATCCCTCAGGCTCTGTGACATACAGGATGCTTTCTCATTGCTGAGAATGGGTCCTGAGGAAACCATTGTCCAGTTCACAGCACTAAGGAGAATACCAACCCAGACTGTGGCCTTTCCACACTAACACTTTCCAAATCCCTGCCAGGGATCCAAGGTTCTCACCAAGAAGGTAGGCATTCTGCCCTTAGGGTAAGAAATCCCCTTCTAGATGCCCCTCTTATCACTGAAATGGATTCTGGTGCTGAGCAAGCTGGAGCGAGGTGGAAACGGCCCTGCTAGAGCAGTGTCAGAGACTGACGGTCCTCAGATAGGCTGGGTGGGTGGAAGTAGGTGGGTTGGGGTCAATAAGAGGCTTTCAAAAAAGGGAACTGAGGCTCATACCACAGGATTCTGTAGTCAAGCTCCAGTACAGTGGGCAGTTTGAAGGATATATCCAGACCCCTGGAGGCTTGGTGACCCTGCGGCCCCCCTCCTCCTTGGTCATTCAAAGCTATTTATTGAGGTACTTATGGTAAGTAAGGACTTTCAGATCTGGGCAATTTAAAGGTACTGTTTGCCCTGTGATGTCAACATAGATGTTTTAGTACCCATTCTTCTTGTAGTACTAAGTTGTGAGATGGAAGTGGTATGATGGGCAGGTTACATTTGCGATGTTCCATGCCACTGACGTGAGGACACGTCACAAACTAAGCTGATAACAGATATGTAACCTAGGGTACTGGCTCAGTGCTTTCATGTGGTGAGGGTTTTAGGGACGCAGCCGCTAGGCAGTCTGGAGCTTTGTATTTGGGCTGGGGAGGGTGGCCAGTGATCCTTTCCCAAGTGTCCCTCAGGCTTCCTTGGGGGGCATGGCCACAGATACCTGATGAGTGATAGGAAGAAGGCCCCTTCACAGGTTGAGGAGGAAAGGGCACTTCGGACCTTGAGGAGACAGCAGACTGTGGAGAAAGAACAGACAGCTGAGTGCGTGGAGTTTCAGCACTGTGTATCTGGAGATTCTGAGGAAAGCAAGGGCAACAGCCTGTGAGTTGATAAAAGCTGACCACGGGCAGTGGGGCTGGGGAGCCGTGGCACAGACATCGGTAGGAATGTTCCATTGAGTATGAAGCTTTACCTTTGTGTAAACAGTTACCTAGTTCTAATATGACAGTGTGGCCCTTCATGGCCTTACAAATGTGTTTCAGAAAGTAGGCAGCTGTCGGAGTCTGATAGCTCTGCACTGACTGCTCCTTCCTCTCTCCAGTTTTGCTCACAAAGCACAACACCAAGCAAGGCCCTAACTTTGTCATTGATCACAAAGCATGGCACCAGCTGTCCCTTAGCATGATATTGTCTCCAGAATGGAAGAAATGCATGAAAAAAAGTCTCAACAAAAGCACAGCTTAGCTTGCCTGGGAGTTGACATCTCTGGGTGTGTACACACTGCTCCTATGTCAGCACAGTTGGATCTGGCTAGTTCTCATAGAAGGAAAAATTTCCACATAGGAAAGAGGAATTCATGAGCATGTCCCTATCCCAGAGACCTTGAGGAGACAGCAGACTGTGGAGAAAGAACAGACAGCTGCGTGCGTGGAGTTTCAGCACTGTGTATCTGGAGATACCAAGGAGCCTGGCAGGACCCTGCCGTGGCCATGTGCGAGGCAGAACACCTGCAGCAGGTGAGTGCTGCGCGCTCCCGCTTTCTAGCCTGCCCTCCTGTTGTCCCCTCCTTAACAGTGAATTCCTGGTTTCTTTCATCTGTGGTGCTAGACCCCCCCTCAGAGAGACAGCACAGTGTCAGACACCAGAAGCATGGTGTTAGCGAGGCCAGCTCAAGTGTGTCCTCTGTGACATACTCACAGAGTATGGGCTGGGGGAGGTGGCCGTATTCCCCAGCCTTCCTGACCTGTCTCCTGTAGGCGAGGGGGAACGAATAGTATTTACCTCATGGAGTAGTTACGAGGGTTAAATAAGAAAGTACACACACTCTGGCATAGTCATTCTATAAATATGTGCTGCTCTGATCCTTCCTTCACTTCTTCCTGTCTCATCTTCTTTCCTTTCCTCCTTCCTGCCTGACCTTTCTTCTTTCCTTTCAGTAGATACTAGGGATACTAAGTCACTTAAAACACCATGTCCTCAAGTTTACAGCCTAGTTAAGTCGGGAAAAGCACACAGAGTAACTCAGTCCCAGCCAGTATATAATGAGGATATACACTCAGTGCAGAATAAATAAGTGTCTGTAGAATGCTGGAAAGTTAAAATAGAAACATGTGCAATGCCTGAGCCCAGAGGGATGTTGAGCTCCTTGCACACAGATCACTCATCCTGCATTTCTCTGGCTTCGAGTGGGTCTGGCTGCCTCTAGCAGGGAAATAGATGTCAAAATTAAGACCCAACCACTGCATCTCTCATCCTATCCACCAGGCAACTCAGAACTTTCAGCTCTCTGATCCCACTTCCGACAAGTATTCTCAGCCACTAATTTTAAAAATAAGCCCCGAGGGGGAAATTGCTACATCTCTTTCCAAAAGGCTGTTGCAGATGCCAAAGGCGGTGGACAATGAACCATCTGTGGTTACGGGTGGAGCAACCACCATTCAGTTAGGCATCCGAGGGACTCTCCTTGCCTCTTCAGTGTCTTTCCTCTCCAGGCCATCCCCAGTGAAGTCGGAAAAGGGCAACTTTCTGTAACAACCTCATGTAATTAGGTAACTGAAAGGCCAACCATGTGTCCAGTTCTGAATTAGTGCTGCATCTCAGGTGAAGACATGAGCCTTCCTGCAACCTTTTACAGTCTGCTTGGAAAAGAAAGAAAAGACAAGCACATGTAAGGCATTTAGAAATCAATATAGCACAATGTGTTCATCCTTTTAGTTTCTAGAAGTATCTAGGCCATGCTAGGTACCATATGAGATGCTGAATCATAGAAATGAAAATGAAATGTCCCTTCATGTGAGGACCTATTTGCTAGAAAATATGTCAAAGTAAGACTCCATAATGCAAGAGAGGTTTAGCGACAAAGAGTCAACAGAACCTAAAGTCAGAGAAAGTCCCATCGAGGTAAAACTTGAACTGACTTGTGAACAGGAGAAAAAGATTCAGTTGCAGGAAATGGCATCTCTGAGGTGTGGTGGAGCACAGTGGAGGAGAACCATGAGGAAAGTGAGTAATGGGAAGGACACTGGCCAGACAATAAAGGGTCACATTGTGGAAGACTTTGAAGAGCAGCCATTTGGCTCCAAGGGGGAAGATGATAATTCCTGATACCAGTGGCTCATAATGGCTCATAAAACCATAAAACTCAGTAAAATTCAGTCTTTGTGAGGATATTCACAAAGGTATGCAGCCATCACCATGAATCTAATTCCAGAATAGACAGTAGTCTTCTCAACATTTCCTAACAAAGAATTCATAGATGGCAGAAACCCTGTGAGATTATATATGTCCAGTAAATTGCACCAGATACAAGAACAAGAATGATTGTGTGAGGAGAGACTAGACACAGAGGGAGGCTGAGAGGGTTGGGCACCTGGGCCAGAATAGGGCAGAGTTCACCTCCTGGCTTTGATCATCTCTCATCACCAAGGGATTTATTGAGATAACAATCTCTCTTTTTCCTCCTGGTATTTTCCTTGCTCATTCTAATGAGCTGGCGAGACATTTGTTCTTCCTATTCTAACAGTTTGGGGAGCTAGACTAGAAGTAAGTTGACAGTCTTCCTTCTGTTTTAGGAATTTGGAAGTTAAGTTGCTGAGGGGAAAAAGAGACTTTATGGGAGCAGGGGGTGCTAAAGCTGAGAAAACAAAGAAGAGAGGGAGGTTTCCCGAAACCTTGAAGAGACAGTCATTTCTGATTCTGAAAGTAGCAGAGCCTCCCAAGGGGGTGGCGATGGGGTGCCTCCCGGGGGCCCTGCCCAGGATCCCAGCCTCATGACGTGTCCTGCATTGGAATTTGGCACAGCAAGCAGCTCGACTCTGACACAGTGGCCAAGACCCTAAGAATCACCTTCCTTAGCATTCTATTCTGAATAAAACTCCTGAAAACCTACTCTTGTCTAGGGCCTGGGCTGTCTAATAATGGAGACTGCATTAACCACCAGCTTGGCAGGGCTGGGCTGAGTTGCATTTAAATAAGTTGAACACCAAGGAGAAACTCTCTTAAGAGAGAGTCTAGCAAAGTGGTTAATAGAGTCCAGAGATCAGCTGTGGGGTTGAGCCTCAGTGCTGCTATGCTAGCTGTAAGATCTTGGATGTATCGCTTAGTTTCTCTGTACCCAAGTTTACTCAAAATGGGGATAATGGTCATCAAATATGCTATGTGGATTAAATGAATGAATAATGGCACAACAGTCATACTGCTCCCTATCACTTAAATACTATTTAAATATTTGCTGTTAAGATTAGCAAATGGGGGAAATAAATTGGGGAGAGAGTGAAACCCTATCAAAGAGAATTATTGGGTAGAAACAAGAGAGGATAAATGATTAACAATGAAGAGCAAAGGAAATATTAAGGTTGAAGCACAAGGTAAGTAATCATTAGATATGAGGGAGAATGAACAGCAAAATAACAAGTACATGAAGGTAAATAGGGATAGAAACAATGGTTTGATACAAAATGAAAAGGGACTGAGAGATTTATCACACAGTGAAAACAGAGATTGAAAATGGCGGTCATTTAACTGAATGAGAGATTATCAACTCAGAATGAAGGAAATAATGTCAGATGCTAAGTGGAAAAGAAACAGAAAGGGAGGGTACAGCGAAGCGTGGTTGTGAGGAATTGGACAGGAGAGTGAATGGCCTCCAGTCTCTGTAGTGGACACGGGCCGGTCCACTCTCCCAATCCTCCGAGTCACTCAGCTCAGCTCAGGCTTCCCTAACACCTAGGC